TACCATTATAATTTGACCTTAAGTTGAGGGGACAAGAATTAAATGACAGAATAACAAACCTCAAGGATAGGCATAAAGTAGTGCTAGAGGTAACAAGAGATAGTTTAAAATATTCAATGATTTCCAACTCACGTGAAAATGGTCGCACAGAAGAAATTCAATGGCGGAACTTAAAAAGATAAGCAGGAAATTTTTCCAAAATGAAGATAGTACAATACAACCGGATGTTATCCTTGATAAATCTATCAATCACAGAGTTTTAGTTTTTGAGACCAGTGAAGGATCATCAATAGACTAAGGTATTCCTTGCCAAATCTTAATCTCCCTAAGAGAAATTGTCATATACTGACTACCTAGTAATGACTACCTATTTTGCACCAAAAAATAAAAACAATAAAGAGCATATGAAATACTAACCAGCAGAAGATTCCTGATCCTTTTCGGCCTCCTTAATCTTTTTCTGCTTCTTCTTCTTCTTCTCCTTCTTCTTCTCTTTATTTTTCTTAGTTTTCTTCTCTTTTATCTTACGACTCTCCAAGTCATCCTCATCCTCATCATCCCTTCCTTCTCCATCTCCATCTTCGTCTCCATCTTCGCCTTCAATGATCTCCTCCACATTCTCGTAGTCACCATCATCGTTCTCTCCAGCTAGCTTCTTCGACTTCAACTCTCCCTCAGCTATTCCACTTTCAATCGTAGGAAGAGCTAGACCGTAATCAGCTTCATCAATCTCCTCAAGTGAAAGAAAACCTGCCCAAACAAAGTATAAAGTTTCAGAATTTCACTGAATTAACAAGGCCAAGCAATGACTCTAGACACGAATTTGAGATTTTCTAGAATGAAGATTACAAAATTACAAATTTTGTTTACCTCCGTCGAGCTCCCCTGAACCTGCAAATAGAGTTGAGAAGGTTTCGCCCTCGTCGTCTTCTCCGATAGGTATAGAAGAGCTCCAGGGAAGTGAATCAATACGTTCGAAATCTTCCTCCCGCTTTCTCTTATAAGTTCTCTTGTTCCTCTTCACCATAGAGGAAGATTCTTTGCCGCCTGCAACCATGTTAGCTGTTGATTTGAGCTCGAATGATCACAAAATGGTTTCGAATCTCTCTGGCCCCAAGTAGAGGAGTCGTCGTTGGCAGAGAGATGAGTTAACTGAAGAAAAAGTCAAAAACTTTCATAAACCCTAAATCAGAAGGAGACGATGTGTGGTGTAATCAAACCGGTTTCGATTTCGGTTTCAATCCGGTTAACATTGAATTAAGATTTAGATGAACACGGCAGTGACATGATTGGGGCTTTTCTTATGAAGCCCATTAGCTTTCTTTCTGCAAAAAACCCAGTTTAGTTAATTTTAAAAATCTTTTCTTAAAGTTGTTTTCTAAATAAAATTTTAATACTTTTAAAAATTTAGACCTTTTTTTTAGTTATTATTCGAAACAGAGTAAAAGTATATTTATAGTACGTAGTTTTTAAGAATATATTTTTATGGAATGCATAATTAATTTTGAGCAATTTATTTATGAAAAAGCGAAATTATTGCACGCTTTTAGCTGTCATTATTGCTAAAAGTGACGACTGAATAGCATTAGCATGCAATTGGAGCATTGATTGCTGATTAGTGCTAATTAAAAAAGTTGTTAAACTCATTTTGACTCTCGTTTTAGTACATTCCTAAAAAAACACACCAGTAAGTTAGAATCATGGAGCTGACCGTAATTTTAACACACAAAGAAGAATCATATACATATATATTATCATATGATAGTTTCATTTTCAACATAAATAGTAAAGTATATAGTTAACATTTTTAAATAAAGCAGCAGCAGCAGAAGCAGCAGGCCAACAAGTATCTATGTAGAAAATGAGATAGATGATCACGACGAATAAAAACAAAAAGTCAAATGTTGATGAAAAGAATGTAAGTGTGAAAACATATATAGGAGTGGGAGTGGGGTCTTTTCCACCGCAACCACAAAAAGGTATCCGAAGAAAAAAGAATTCCTAATATATTAACAGAATCCAATTTTTTTTCAACATACATATCCGAGTTTTATTTTACGTGTGTTCGAGGAATACTTTACTTGAAGGTTTTTTCCTTTTTTTGGCAATGATGAGTTAGTACGTAAGTCTGTTTTACTGTGTGTTGGAATATCGTATTCATTGTATTCAAAACAGTTGAGCTAATCTAGTAGTATATGTTTGTTTTGATGAACCAAATAGTTGACCAATTATATCATATATTATCATATGATAGTTTCATTTGGTTTGTCATATCTTTGTAGATTGATCATAACCAATACTATAATGATCTTTCAGTTGTTATAAAAGCTTAATTATATATGATGTTCAAAATTCTTACAACGAATCAAAATACCCGAAGTTTTACATTAACGATCTTAAAACAAAGGTTTACGTACGTCGATCTACAAATTTTGAACTCTTGCTTAATAAAGTTTAGTTTGATTAATATATATAGAGATATAAACGTATCTCGTACGTGCTGTAAAACTCTTTGATGTAATGTTATGCGAGGACTTGGTTTATTAAGAAGTGTACGTAGTCGGGGGGCAGGTCATGAAAATTAATATATACACGACACGGAGTACACATTATATATTGCTTTGAAATTGAAATTTAGACAGCTAAGGTTACGACGAAGAAGAAGACCAAAAGGAATGATAAGATCGGGAGGAAGTAAATACACAATACAAAATGCTCAATTAATGAATAAAAACAGTGAGAGTTTTTGGAAGTTATTGATCACGGAGAAGATGGATCATCACCTGGCATAATTATAGTGGCCACACACGACTTAAAATATTACTAATCATTTTGTTTCTTAATTAGGGAGATATGTATTGACATAAGTACATTATATAGATGACCCGACGACATAAGGAGTATATGACCCGCCTCGTTCAATTCATATATATGATTCCAACAAATATGAAAGAGACCAAGTAGCTAATCACAATATCGATAAATTTATATATAGATGTTGAGCTTAAGCTTTTAGATCTATGTGTGGTTTGAACGAATGAATATATATATAAATCAGTACACAACGTTAACGTCATACCCATTATTATTATTATTGTTTTCATCACATTATAAGATTTTCTATACGCTTAATCATTACCTAAGACAACTCATTATGTTGTTTTTTCCAAAAAACATCAATCAAAATGTTAATAAAATAAAAAAGCAAGCCACAAATTCACGAAATATACAAAATGACACAATTTTTTTCCCTTGTAGATATATATGAATCCTCATTGCATCCACCATTAGTTATGAATTTTTATAGCGTATATGATATATCACAAGTCACAAAAAGTATAACATATTAGTCAATACAAAAAGAAAACTTAGAAAATTCCACAATCATGCGTATACAAAACTGAAAAATTTCCACATTAAATTTGGTATTTTCCCCCAACTAAATAACACTTCTTTTTTTTAATAATTTTGTTCTAAAATTTATAAACAAATATAAGGGTGTTTGAAATGATAAAATATATATATGTGGGAAAAAACAAAAAGCATATATTATATATAAGATATATATATATGTGGTATATGGAAAAATGGACTGTCAAAACCCAACAAAATAAAAAATAAAAAAGAAGAAGAAGAGAGAAGACAGGCTGGCAAATATCTCTCCGATGATTGCTCGTGGGTCCTGTTGTCTTCACTGTCTTAAGCACATGCGCTTCCTTCTTCCTGCTTACGTGTCCTCTTCCCATTTTACACTTAATTAATTAATTACCACTTTAATATATATTTTCCAAAAAACTATACAGTATATTTAAAACCTACACTTGCTCTTCTTAAATCATACAGAGTATAAAACAAACAAACCTTTGTTAAATTAGTCTGCAAGCCTCCTACAACAACAATCTTACATTTTTACGATATCATATGTATTCTTTAATTGTAATGTTGGGTTTATACTGGTTTGAATACTACTTACTTGCGTAAGAGTAAGATTTTATATATACACGCAAGTAAGCTTCTTTCGTATTTAATAATACGACTTGTTCGTAATCCAATTATTAGTTATCCGCCGTTTGTATATACAGTATAAAATTTAAGTCTTTTAATCACTTTGTCCAAAATATGCATATATATACTAATATTTATTTTATAAGAAAAAAACAGTAAATCCAAACGGCTGCTTGCTCAAATCAAAACAGACCACATGAGCTCCATGTGTCGTTTTAACATCTTCTTCTTTCGTCAATCTTTATCTATCTTATATCTTTGCTCTCCTTTTTAATCAAATTTTTTTAGCATTTGTTTTGTATTTTGATGTTACTAAAGACGAAATCAGTTGTAGTAGTAGTAGTAGTAGTAGTAGAAGCAGGTAGTGGTACACATTACAAAAATTACTAACAATCCTTTTATTTTCTCAATTAGGTTTAGCAAATTCATAACGGATACTAGTCGTGTCGGCAAGATATGTGGTGCCAAAGTCAAAAAATACCATTTAATTTTAGAAAAATTGATGAATTTAGTCGACTAATCTAGTTAATTCATATAATATGAAATAGTCTAAAACAGCTACGAGACAAAATCATTGAGATAAATATTACCAAAACAAAACAACACTAATTCCTAGCAAAACAAGGATTACTTACTGATAATTGAATACTACACACTCCACCCCTACTAATAAGTCTAAAGTTATAAGAGGAGTGATGTGTTTAACTAAAATTTTATTTTAATTTTAAGGGGAAGAAGAAGAAGAAGGCAAAAAAAATGAGGCACCAAAAGATCTCAGTGAATATAAATAATTGTCTAGTCCTTTTATGTAAATTTAATGTTACACTATTGGGATCAAACAAAATGAATAATAGTAATGATTTATGGTAATATTAATAGCAAATTCCAACCAAACACTAGTACTAGTAGTAGTGTTAAACAAATAATAACATGTACTTTGGTTCTCTCTCTCTCTCTCTCTTTGCTTCTTCTTCTCTTCATCTCCTCCTCTCCCTCTCCCTCTCCCTCTCCCTCTCCCTCTCTGCTCTTTCATTGTTTTTATTCTTTTTTCTTTCTCTCTTGCGACTTTTCTCCTTCCCTCAGGAACTTGTTAAGTTTCTGAGTCCATGAAGATGCCAGTAAGTACGTTTCTCCCTTTCTTTATTTTGTTTCTTATTAAAATCTTGCTCTAATGAGTTTTGCCTTCTCTGTCTGTTGTTTCTTAAGTATGAAACTTTGTGGACGAATCTCTACTTCAATTCTTATGATTCTCTTCTCTTTTTTTGTTTTTGTTTTGGTAAAAGAATAGTTATATGAAATCGAGTTATCTCTTCTGTGTTCTTTGTTTGTAATTGGGACCTCACAGCAGCCGAATCTAGAAATCTGTCTTAGATTCCTCTGTTTTTTTTCTTTTGTACTTGTTGGTTCTGTTTCTTGGATCTTCATGTCAGTGACTTCTGATTTTTTTTTTGATTAATGGTGATGCTTCTGTGTTTATGTAACTCTGTGGCTTGTTTCTGAGATTTTCCAAGACGAGAAATGATCAGATTTCCCTTAAATTCTTATGGAGGAGAGTTCATGTTTTTCATTAGATATGATTCTTATCAAAACTCAATTTTCCGGGAAAGTTTATTAGCTTTTCCCGGTATTTTCTCTACAGAAAACGTTTCTTTACTTCCCTCACACATGATTGTCATTCATCACATCCTTTTTTTGCAAATTTCATTGAAATATTCATCAGCTTTGATCCGAATTTATCGAATTTTTAGACTGATTGGCTCGAGCTGCTATGCAGGTGGCATTGGTCTGGCTACTGGCATTCATCATTCTACTGATCAGAGGAGAAGGCAATAATGCCATCTGCAAGAAGAGTTTCAAGTTAGACCCTAGACCTCACAGCGTTTCCATCCTCGAGTTTGGAGCGGTTGGAGATGGAAAGACTCTGAACACGCTTGCTTTCCAAAATGCGATTTTTTACCTCAAGTCTTTCGCGGATAAAGGCGGTGCTCAGCTTTATGTTCCACCGGGGAAATGGCTGACGGGGAGCTTCAATCTCACGAGCCATCTCACTCTCTTCTTGGAGAAAGGAGCAACAATTCTTGCATCACCGGTATGATCTCTAGCAAATTCTGTTTATGGTTTTTGCCTGAGTCGTCTTTTCACTTTTGCGATTGGGGTATCGGAACAAAAACTAGCACCAAAAAATGTATAAAACATCATGTGCATCGTTCTGTTGGGAGCAAGATTTGTTTCTAGACTTTAGTTTATGCTTTTGTTGTTATGTGCTTACTGATCAGTGTTCTTTGGTAGTCATAACTGTTTAGGAGGTGTCTCGGTAGACAAGCTCAGTGTTTTGAATTGGATAAGATAGTAACACTGTCTCTCTTTTGTTGCTAACGTCCTAGGATCCTTCGCATTGGGACATAGTCAGTCCTCTACCGTCCTATGGTCGTGGAATTGAACTTCCTGGAAAGCGGTACAGAAGTTTGATCAATGGAGACAATCTACTAGATGTAATCATCACCGGTAAACAACAACAAGCTTATATACCATCATTACCTAAGATTCTGGCTTGACAACATTTAAGACTTATATAACATCTTTATATTTGGCAGGCGATAACGGGACATTTGACGGGCAGGGTGCAGCGTGGTGGGAGTGGCTCGAGTCCGGGTCCTTAAACTATAGCCGACCTCATATTATTGAATTCGTCTCCTCCAAAAACATCCTCATATCAAATCTAACCTTCTTAAACGCACCCTCGACCAACATTCACCCGGTTTATTGCAGTCAGGTTCATATCCGCAAAGTTTTGATCGAAACATCGGTTGATTCTCCTTACGTTCTCGGAGTTTCCCCCGGTAAAATCATTTCTTCATTTTTATTTTCCATCACTCCGCTATGTTACCGTTCAATCACTAATATATCTTGTACTGTTTTATTTTTTTTTGTTTCAGATTCTTCAGACAATGTTTGTATCGAAGAATCAACGATCAACGTTGGCCACGACGCGGTCTCACTCAAGAGTGGTTGGGACCAATACGGGATAAACTACGGCCGTCCAACCACAGCTGTTCACATTCGAAATCTCAGCTTAAAGTCTCCCACGGGCGCGGGAATCTCCTTCGGCAGCGAGATGTCAGGGGGTATTTCGGACATTACCGTGGAGCGTATTAACATACACAGCTCACTCGTAGGCATAGCCTTCAGAACCACCAGAGGCAGAGGAGGTTACATCCGTGATATCACAATCTCCAACATCGATCTCTCCAGCGTTGACACTGCCATCTTCGCCAGTGGACACACCGGGTCGCATCCGGATGATAAATACGACCGGGACGCACTCCCTGTCGTAACACGCATCACCATGAGGAATATCACCGGTGAGGATATAGGAGTGGCCGGAAACCTCACCGGGATCGGAGAATCTCCGTTCACGTCGATATGCCTAGCGGATATACATTTACAAACTCATTCAGATTCTTGGGTTTGCTCCAACGTCTCTGGTTTCTCAGACGACGTATCACCGGAGCCTTGTTCAGAGCTTATGAGTTCTCCATCATCGTGCTTTGCGGGTGGTAGCATATACGGCGGAGAAGCGGCTGCTCAGTCGTGGTGATTCTAGTGGAAAAATAAATGGGTGATGAAGAAAAGAAAAAAAAGGAGAAGAAGAGAGGGAGGTGGGAGTTTGGTTTACTACGATACGATTGGATTTTGAAATTTTTTTTGTCAATAAGTTCATAAATTTGTTGTCAGAGCGAGAGGATAAAAAAGAAAGAAAGAAGAGAATTACGTTTATAAGTGGTGGGTGAGTTTCCAAGAACAGAGCGAGCTTCAATTTGTTATTTTGTACAGTTTCCATTTCTTTCATTCATGGTGTAACAATATTCATCTTCTTTGTTTCTATTAAGCAAAAAAAAAAGATCATTTGTGAACTGACTTGTCACTAAAGACTCATTTTCTCAAGTTTTATTAAACTCTACAACAGTTCTCTCTATGTTTTATATGAACATGCGAGGTGTTGCAGACTTAACCAAAGTCAGTACGACTTATTCTGAGGTGTTGTAGACTTAACCAAAGTAGTATGACTTATTCAGCATGTTATCTAGTGATATCTAATATGTTTCGTAAGATAGAAACCATTCGGATGACCAACACACAACAATATGGGATTGGATCCTTAGAACAAGGAGTCCTTTTAGGAATGGGAGTAAAGTATCATTTGCCATGTTGAAACCCATTTTTTGCATTCGTTGTATCACTCTCTGTGGCTTCCATTATCTTCTCTTCCCCCAAATTGACTCACGTGGCTCATCTTTTAGCTGTTTGACGCCATTGCTCTCCCACTTTTTTTTTTTCTTTCTTACATTAAAACAGTTATGTTTTAAAACTGAATAGACGATGAAATTACTAAACCATCTATGTGAAATTGTTCAACATTTTTCATCTTAAAATCATTGCGCATAACCTTAAAAATGGACCCAAAAAAAAAAAACTGATGAGTTTACTAACTGTTTTGGTGTTTTTAGTAACAGTTACTTATTATTACTACCAAACGTTGTGGGCACATGATAGGACACCCATCAAGATGAATACAACATGATGATTAAAAAAAAAAAAGAAGAAGAAGATGAATACTCCTCAGACTATTGGCGAACGTTAAATATATAATTTGGTTATACGATCGAATTTACTTTACAAAAATCCATATGGATTAATTTATTGACACGTAAAGAACCATTATTATATTTGGCCGCGTGAATTAATATTTGATCCTCCATAAAATCCAGAAAAAAAAAATACTCTTAAGAAACAATGAACTCCATAAGACTATTACGTGATTAAACAAATACTTACAGATTATGGCTCTCCGATTAAAATTAACTAAAATTAAAATTTGTTTCGGTCACATGCTATCCCTATCCGATTCTGAAAGATTCACATATATTAATTTTGGATACAATTTCCTTGTATATCATCAAGTACTCTGATTATAATAATTTTGGATCTCAAGTCTTTTGCTTAATTATCCAATTTTTTTTGTTGGTGGGTGCATCATTTTTCCATCAAGAACTCCAGTTTTTAAGTAATTTAATAGTATAATATATACAACTAAATAAGTAAGAGATAGGTGTGCAAGTAATATTAGTAATAAAATTTTAAAGTTGGTTTTGGTTGTGCATAAAAAGCTGAAACATTTTGCGTTCTACAAAACCTTTATTTTTTTGGGTGACATGGACCTCTCTAGTAGTTGGTACTTGAAATAAAAATAAAAATAAAATAAGAATATATGTCTGTCTAAGAATAAAAAGTAAGAAAAAAATACATAAAAAATGCGAGAAAGCTCATCGTAAGAGTAAAAAACTTTTTACAGAGAATATACGGTTTCTTTTCTTGGGAGCTTCTCCATTTCATAGCTTTTTGGCGCAGTTAAGTTTATTCTTTTTAGTATTTTATTTGTTTTATAATATATAATCATGATTTTTTTGTTTTTACATGTTTAAGTATATAGTATTATCGTATTGGTACAAAATTAATAGTAAAGAAAGGATTGAACCGAAAAGCTAATGACAAAGCAAGCATGGATGATGGATCAGTAAAACATTAAAATCTACATGTAGTATAGTAGAGATGATGATGATAACAAGTTCAACGAACGGCCTTTTACTTCTTTTTTTACTGTTTTTTTTTTTTTTTTTGGGGTCAACTTTTAGTTACTTACTATTGTGTTGGAACCGCAGGAAAGAAAACCAAAAAAAACATATGAAGACAACGATAGATGGAGTGGACGATGCAAAAGAACTGATCTTATCCATTTCTCGTGGACACGTGTCGCAATAGGGATAGCTTCTCAGCAACGTGATTTCTTTGGTTTTTTTTTTTTTTCTTTCTTTTCATTTAATGCCTTTTTCATTTGTTGTTTTAAGTTTGTTTATAATAAGATAACCAAATATATATAATCCTAAAGTCAAAATTTCCTTTCGAAATATAAACATGCATATACACTTGATGTCATCGATGAGGAATTTCAAGGTAAGGTAGTATTAGGTATGGATGCACTGTGGAGATATGAAACGAAACGAGTCGTATGGCACACTTAAAACGATCGCTTATATTTTTTTTATTAAGAAGAGAAGAGAAGACATGTCGGCGGTGCTAAACACCTGTTTAAGCAAAGTAAACATCTGTCTAAGCAAAGTATACACTGAACTTGGATTAACTTTTTTTTTCGTTATATATATCTTTTACATTGAGGTTGACAAATTTATACAATTAAAAATATTAGAGACGAAGGAATTAAAGCTAGTTGATAGAATAGTCAAAATTTGTTATCCTATTATTAAAGAAATACATCTTCGAGGGTAATTGGTGATGGGTGGGTTAGCATATGAATGATGTTACTAATCATTCAAACCAACCATTTGAATTATCTCTTTATTTATTACTATGAAGTATCCAACGTTTCAATAGACGTGTTATATATAAAACATGTTTTGATGGCCACCATAAAATCACGAGATCAGTTCTTAGTTGCCATTTAAACGATATGATCAAGTATATTCTCAATATGGTAATGATGATTTTTTCTTCACTTTCAATATTCCACTTTTAAAATACGCCATAATCGTTCTTCCAATCAAACATGGTAATTAGAATATAAACGTTTCCCACGAGATCGATGTAACTAAAAATTTGAGTACTACTGTATTTATAAACGCACTATTGTATATTTTGACTTCATACAGTATATTTTTTGAAATTTTCGCAAAATAACATTATATCTTCAAAATTACCAAAGTTATACTACACACGACTTGTACTAATTATTTAGTACTAAAGAAAAAACAAAAAGTGACTTGTTTTAATTTACAACAAAAATGACATGTTGAATTGAATAACCTTAGTATCTTACTATTATTATTATTATATATATAACTTAGCTAAAAAATGTACGTGATGATGGGAATGCTTAGGTGTATATTTTTGGTACCTTAATCATATGCTTGAATGTGCGTCGAGCGTATTATTATGTTTTTTTAATTTTAAATTATAGTTTTGCCCCATTTTAATCTTAACTAATACACATGTAGGTCCATTAAAGCAAGCCTTGGTTTCTCTCAATTACAGAAATTTCAAAGGGTAGTTTAGTAAATAAACTTTCTTCAACCTCTCGCTCTCTCTCTCATGTAAAACAAAATAGTTAAGAAAAGCAAATTAGTGCTTTTGTAAAATTCCTTTTCTTCGAACTGTTATAAAATGGAAACTTAAACAAGAGATTAGGAAATACCAATAATAATGAAAATCTGTTTTTTATTTTAAGGTTTGAGAGTTTACAAACTTAACATAACTAGATAAACTTTTTTTTTTCTTTTTTTTTTGCATGTTATGATATATAATAATATGAGCTGGATCCACGCATCAAGGGTCTTTGGTCCTACTTTTTTCCAATTCAATTATATATAAAAATTCCGTAACCCCTATAGTTTAAGTAAATTTTATAATTCAACCCCTATATTTCACTACTTAACAAAAATAGCCGAGACTTTTAGCTAAATTCAAAACCAACATTCATTATTATCCTTCACATCCCAATGGTTAAATTGTGAAAATTTTGAAATATTTAAAGAAAATGGATCTAAAGTGAGACTCTTATAAACAAATGGTCTAAATGTACAAAATGATGAAAATAATAAAGGACATGTCAGCTCTGCTTATATATATATAGGAAGACAATTTATAAATATGTAAAAGTAATATATGAATGACTATATATAAAACCACATTTATTTATTTATGTAATTTTGGTTCTGCTTCCTCTATATTATTATTACAATTTGCAATAATTTATTTATATATATATAGCTTTACTCTCTCTCTCTCTCTCTGTGTGTGATTAAAAAAACAGAGAAATAGAGCTCTAAGGTGAGACAAGCCATGTCTTCTTCAACTCCCTAAGTCTCATCTCACCATCCCTCTCTCTCTTCTTTTTTTCTTTTTACCCCCAAATTCATATTCTCACTACTACACCACCATCTTTCAATTTCTTATTCTCCTCTAATTCAACTCAAAATCGAATATAATTCGCCTCAATTTCCCCTCTTTCCTCGTATATATTCTTTTTTTGTTTCTTCATTTGTGGGGGTCGAGCGAGCAAAGAGAGAGAGATATGATGAATCCGAGTCACGGAAGAGGACTCGGATCGGCTGGTGGGTCTAGCTCCGGTAGGAATCAAGGCGGTGGTGGTGAGACCGTCGTTGAGATGTTTCCCTCTGGTCTTCGAGTTCTTGTCGTTGACGACGACCCTACTTGTCTCATGATCTTAGAGAGGATGCTTAGGACTTGTCTTTACGAAGGTTCGAATTCAAAAAGACAAGATCTTCTCTCTTCTTCTTTTTTTTTTGTGTGTGTGTTTTCACGATATTAGAGTTCATCATGGTCTCTCTCTTCCTCCAATGATGGGTTTTTTTTTTTGTGTGGTCCATCCTCGTAAATTATGTCATTTTGAGGAATAATTATGGTTTTCATTTCGGTGGTTGACTAACTTTGCTCTCCCTTTAATAGAAACTATAATGGAGCTAAATGTTTTTGCTTGCTTTTCATTTGGATTCATCTCTCAAGCGTCTTGATTTACATCACTCTCTATGATCTGTTTTAAAGATTCACTTGTCTCTTCTCTTAGGATAACCTTTTTTTAGCAATACCACAAAAAAGTTCTGAGATCCATTTGTATATATTAATAATAATTGAGAGGGTTTTTAATGGATTCAAATCTCAGTCTTGTGGTCTTTGACTTGAGTTTGGTTAAATGTCAATTCAAGAGCTCGTTTGTTACGACTCTGCAGTTCTGTTTCTCTTTGATCTGAGTTTCGTTATGTTATAACTCTGTTTTTTTTTACTCTTTTGGATATTGAAACGCTTGGCTGAGTTTTACTTCTCTGACATGCAGTAACGAAATGCAACAGGGCAGAGATGGCATTGTCTCTGCTCCGTAAGAACAAACATGGATTTGACATAGTAATCAGTGATGTTCATATGCCTGACATGGATGGCTTCAAGCTTCTTGAACATGTTGGTCTTGAGATGGACTTGCCTGTTATCAGTACGTTCTATTATTCCCTTCAAATCTCAAAGTTCGAATCTTTTTAACAGTTTATGGATTCAACTACTAATCTTGCTATCTGTATTTTCGACCTAGTGATGTCTGCGGATGATTCAAAGAGTGTGGTTCTTAAGGGAGTAACGCATGGTGCCGTTGACTACCTAATTAAACCAGTACGTATGGAGGCACTCAAGAACATATGGCAGCACGTCGTTCGGAAGAGGAGAAGCGAGTGGAGTGTACCAGAACATTCTGGGAGCATTGAGGAGACCGGCGAAAGGCAGCAGCAGCAACACAGAGGAGGCTGTGGTGGTGCAGCAGTTTCTGGTGGTGAGGATGCTGTGGATGATAACTCGTCCTCGGTTAACGAAGGGAACAACTGGAGGGGCAACTCTCGGAAGCGGAAAGACGAGGACGGGGAAGAGCAAGGGGACGATAAGGATGAAGATGCGTCTAATTTGAAGAAACCGCGTGTCGTCTGGTCTGTTGAATTGCATCAGCAGTTTGTTGCTGCTGTTAATCAGCTAGGCGTCGAAAGTAAGACTAAAGCTTTTTACATTTGCATCTTTGATTATTATGCTTAGGGCCTAATTGATCTTGTATGGTGCAGAGGCGGTTCCTAAAAAGATCTTAGAGCTGATGAATGTTCCTGGGCTAACCCGAGAAAACGTAGCCAGTCACCTCCAGGTATAAATCTTATATTGGATACAGCAATGAGCCATTGTATTGCAAAGATGTTCTTACTTACTTTGTGTGGACTTGCAGAAATACCGGATATATCTAAGACGGCTTGGGGGAGTATCTCAGCACCAAGGCAATCTAAACAACTCGTTTATGACGGGTCAGGACGCAAGCTTTGGCCCTCTTTCAACATTGAATGGGTTTGATCTTCAAGCACTAGCCGTCACAGGTCAACTACCTGCTCAGAGCCTTGCACAGCTTCAAGCCGCTGGTTTAGGCCGACCTGCAATGGTCTCTAAGTCAGGATTGCCGGTTTCCTCTATTGTGGACGAGCGGAGTATCTTCAGCTTTGACAATTCGAAAACGAGATTCGGAGAGGGGCTTGGGCATCATGGGCAACAAGCCCAACAGCAACCGCAAATGAACTTACTTCACGGTGTCCCTACAGGTTTACAACAACAGCTTCCTATGGGTAATCGAATGAGCATTCAGCAACAGATTGCTGCTGTCCGAGCTGGACATAGTGTTCAAAACAGTGGAATGCTGATGCCTCTTGCGGGGCAGCAGTCATTACCCCGGGGACCACCGCAGATGCTAACCCCGTCGCAATCATCAATCAGGCAGCCAATGTTATCAAACCGCATTTCTGAGAGAAGCGGTTTCTCTGGTAGGAACAATATCCCCGAGAGCAGCCGAGTGTTACCAACAGGTTACACCAACCTCACAACACAACACTCATCAAGCTCAATGGCCTATAACAACTTCCAAACAGAACTCCCTGTGAACAGTTTCCCGCTAGCAAGTGCGCCAGGCTTATCAGTCCCGGTTAGGAAAGCCAATTCTTACCAGGAAGAGGTTAACAGCTCTGAAGCTGGTTTCACTGCCCCAAGCTACGACATGTTCACCCCCAGACAGAATGATTGGGATCTGCGGAGTATTGGAATAGCGTTTGACTCGCATCAGGACGCAGAATCCGCTGCATTTTCAAATTCAGAAGCCTTCTCTTCTTCATCTATGACAAGAAACAACTCAACGGTTGCAGCTACCGAGCATGGCAGGACCCACCAGCAACAGCCACCTCCGGGAATGGTCCCGCACCATCAGGTTTATGCGGACGGAAATAGCGGTTCTGTGAGGGTGAAATCGGAGAGATTGGCGGTGGATACAGGGGCAATGGCCTTTCAAGAGCAGTACAGTAATCAAGAAGATCTTATGAGCGCACTTCTTAAGCAGGTTTGAATTTTTTTTTCTCTCTTATATAGAAGCATAATCTGATCGAACTCACATGGCTTTTGGAGTTTGCGTTTCAACACCTATTAATTATATAACATTCCTCAGACGCTTTCGCTCCATTGGCCGCGTGTCTTATGCAAACTACTACTGAATAACAAGATATAGTAAATCCATAAAAGTAACTAATGCAAGACAATTTTAGTAGAACCTTACATGAGAAAATAGTGAATATTGACTTTTATCAACATTTTGGGCATATCTTATAATGTTTACTACTCAATGAACAAAGAGCATCTGTCATATAAACATTGACTTAACAGAACTGGAAACACAATCTTGCGTTGGTACAGGAAGGGATTGCACCGGTTGATGGTGAATTCGACTTCGACGCATACTCCATCGATAACATTCCGGTTTGATTGGATCCGAAGGGACAATCGGGGATTTGTATTGTATCATTTACACGACGATCTACTTAAAATTTGTTTGATATATATATAGTCTGCATGAAATTTTAGATGGCAGATTATATACGAAATTATTATTTATGTTAGGTGTTAATTTACCTTGGCGATTTCTTTTGTTCCTCATTTATGTAGTGAGGATGTTTAGGGTTTTGATTTCTTAACTTACTATAATAAGACAATCTCTTAGTGTCTTGTAAGTATATGATTTCGAGTAACATAAACCAGTACAATTTCATTTGAACTTGAAATCACTGCTGTACAAACAGTAAAAGGATCCTTATCAAGAATTCAAGATCAAGAGAGACTTGAACAAGACCAAAAATATTAAAGCACAAGGAGTTTTGTCTATTCAATGTGTATACATTACATACATATTACCAAAATCTGATTATAAGAAATTCAAGAATCACACGCTGCACAAAGCACCACTTACTATTTCTGTAACATATCTGGTTAGAAAGAATCAAGAAAATTCAAGCTAATGGTGAAGCTCATCAAGGAAACTCTTAAATCCGCAGAAACATTAGAGCCAAAAATGGCAACACCATGAGAAGGAAGGTGGACACATGTCTCCTGTGACTGTTGTTCGTGGGCAGTACAGAAGGAAGTGAACATTCCTGGCCGTTGAAGAACACTTTGCTCGGAAATCCGTCTCCGGAACCAACTTTGATTCCAGGAGTCAGTTTCTTGGTGAAGGAGATAACAGACTGCTGTTTCCCGGGTATCCGAAAGTCCTTATCCGGGTTTTTACCGTCTCTCTCTGCAACGAGATAGTTCAGTCCAGGAAGCCCTTCCATCAAAACAGTGGTGTTCTTTCCGTTGATAGCGATGTTAGTTCCGTTAAAGGAGTAAGCCTTCTCGAAACCCGGTGCAGCATTTTTCAGTTCAACAGCGGTAAACCAATCTGCCAAATCAGTATCCCCCCAATTGAAGAGTGTGACTCTAGCAGTCCATCCGCCTCGATAGTCTGTGGCTAGATGCCAGTTTATGCTGACTCCACAGTTATCTCCACAAGGTAAAGGGTCCGGGACCTTGCGGCGTTTTATATCTGCCCAAGCAGTGGTGAGTTTGGTTCGGTTCTCAAACGGAATAAGAAGAGCCTGTGTTGGAAGAAGAAGAGCTGGAGAACTTGTGCTGCAAGCACGCGACACTCTGTTGCTAGAACAACCTCCACAAGCGCAGGTGTTACAAGGGATGATCGAGTCATTGAAGTAAGAAGAGAATGAGACACAGCATTTAGGAGTAGCTGGTTGAGTGATGTTACAGACGACTTGCCAGCTAGCAAATGCAGTCCGGTTTGAAGGCAAACCGCTCGGATCAGGGAACTGGCTCGAGCTAACTCGAACAGGAGGGCCACATTTGTAATCCGGGTTAAAGTTACCTTTAATCTGCCAGCTCTGGGGAGGCGTTATAGCAGAGATGTTGAGATCCGGAGGCATTTTGTAAACTTGCATTTGGAAAACCGATTTCGACTTCTCTGGATCCATGGACCGTGGCAGAATCGTTCCGTTTCTGCAGCAAAATGGGATACGTCCCATGTCTGTATCATTATATTTAGTGAGAGGGAGGTCTATGATGTTTGGCCTTCTTGCACAGCTCAAGACATTGGAGAAGTCAAGTTCTTTATAGAATTGGACTTGCGGACCATTGATGCAATCCGATGAATCGACAACACTCGGATAAGCTCCTCTGGTTGTGAAGATAAACTCATCTTTCATCCACGCAAAACTTAGATTCCAGTTGTCAAGCCGACCAAGCGGATTATGATTCTCAATCGTGACCTGCGCCAAGTAATTAGACTGATATGCTTTGGTCACATCATACATTATGGTTAGATCTCCTTCTTGCCTTGGAAGGAACTTTTCACCAAAGTTGCCTGTCGTAATATTCGGATTCGGAGTGCAACATAGTTGCAGAACATTCCTACCTGCAAAAACATAAAACAGAGAACACTTATGCGTCTAGACGTCTGCTACATATCATTCAAGCCACAACACAAACAAGAATCCTCTGATCAATAAATAAAAGAAAAACCAAAATGTAAAGTGACCTGTTACTACAAGTTGACTTCCTAATGTGAAATCAGCTATCAGAAAAGCCGAGCAAGAAGATATAAGGAATTTTTTGGTCTAATCTGAATTGCGATTGTAAGACTAGTTCAAACTTTGAATGTACAAGAAATAGACTTTTTTCAACGAGTGATTAAATAACAAATAAAACCAACCACTGTGATCGTTCCTCCATTTTGTTACTCTTTCTAATGCTTTCGTAATGAAAATAACAAATTCAAAATCATAAGACACCCAAAAACGTTCAAAAATGCAACAATTCACTTACAACAATCAAAACGAGGGAATGGAAACAAATTACATACTAACAAAATTCGCGGATTTAAGAAATCATAAAAAATTAAGATAATTTGATACCTCGTTGAGTGGGTTTGGGACAAGACCATCCATCATTAACAAGAGTGATGTTCTTCGGAAGCGGAACACTCGGCGGCGCAACTCCAAACTGAGTACCCACGAGCTTGACACGTGCTTCCATCTGAGTGACGTCACCCGCCGTCATAATCGCCGACTTCAAATCCGCCGACGGAAACCCGGCGAAGATCGTCCCGTTCTCGACGCTCACCGGGAAGCTAGAACCGTCGGAGAGAACGGCGTTGGTGGCCGAAACAAGAATCTCGCGGTGGGCGAATCCCACGAAGACACGCCACGATTTAAGCTCGTCGCGGCCGTTGTTGAGCACCGTGATCTCTGACTCGAACCGGTACGGCTGGTTCTTCGTGTCGTTCGGTTTAATATTGGTACCGGTTGAGTAAGCATAGGAAACGAACACGCCGTTGCAGAGATCGGAGTCTGGAGGAACGCGCGGTGGAGAAGCCTTGGGCTGAGACAACGTAAGTGGAGCCGCCGTGAAGAGAGATAACAGCAGAATCCACGAAATAATGGAATTTGGAGTCAAACCCATGATGTCTCTAAAATCTCTTTACTCACAAAAACCTCGTTTTTGAAATTTCGGAAATGAAAAAAGTAGAAAAATCGAAGCTTTATATTTGAAGGGATGAAGAGACCGCGTTAACGAACAGAACAGCTTACTAGACGCTGTAATGAAAATAAAAAGTGTTATTATGTGCGCGTTTAAATTTGCTTTGCTTGGTTTGGTCGCATCTTCTTAATGTTTTTCTTGTTCAAGTAAACAAAAAGGTTTTTACACAAACAAACTTCGTTATAGAATTACAAAAAGAACCATGTATTTTTTTATCAATGGAAATTGCAACCTGATTCTATTATATCGTACTAGTTATGTAAATGTGTGTATATATGTTGACCACAAACACTGATATTAAAGTTAAACGTAGGTTTTATGGAATGTTTGATTAAATGATTTAAATTGACAAAAATATCTTTATGGAAGTTTTGAATTATGAAGATTTTGCTTTGATTTTTGGTGAAAAAGAAAAAGGGAAAACGTGTTTCCAAAATTTAATCATCAATGGTGATTATGATCATATCGACATAAGAAGATTTTATTTTGATATAAATGTGGTAATAGTTATTACTATTTGATTTCCATAACAATGATTTACTTTTTCCTAGAAATAATAAGTTAAACCAAAATAAAATGTTGTATTAGAAACGTTGTTTCAGCATAAAAGGTGATGATGTTAAAAGATTGTTGTTGTGAGGAATACACTAGATCAAACAATATCAATGCAAAAAAGACGGTTCAGAACAAAGATTAAGGGAGAGTTTTGATTGTTAACTATGGTAGTGAGGTTATTAGAAAATATAAAGGTCCTAAATTGAAGAAACAGAATAATAAAAGGGTGAAAACAGAAATATCCCGTTGAGCAAGGTCGGTCTCTGAGGTTCGCTCACTTGCCCCGTTTTATTTGAAGTTTGAACCATTCTATTCTATTTCTCTCTCTCTCACGGCTCTACCTAGCCGCGTCAGCATTTGTCCACCACCGTGTCCTTTTTAAAATTATTGGTATACTCGTCACTTCCTTTAGATTTGTAATTAACTTTTCTTTTTTATTTTTTTTTTCTCTGGAAAAAACAGTATAATTCATGACTTTGCCATGATAGGGTCCATCATTGATAATTATTAATTATATGATGACTACTTAATTAAGGTTAAATCATAGACTGATATAAAAGGAAAAAAATGAAATTTAATTTTGGTAGCCTTTACAATTTACAATTTCACAATTCACAAACCTACCTACCTAACAAAAAAAAATCTGCCACCTTTTTAATTACTTAAATAAAAAAGTTTGAAATTTGTCTCCTCGGTATAATTTAAAAAAAAAACCCTCAAACCATACAAATTTGAAATTTGAATTGCCCAAAAAAGAAGAAACATTTACTCTAAAAAAAAAAAAAAAAAAATCAAATACGTCAATGGACCAAAACACAAAAAGGGGAGCATTGATGGAGACAAGACAACTAGAACCACGCGCCTCCTCGATTAAAAGCCCAATTTCATGGACTATACGGGCCCATATAGCAATAGGGACATTTGTGTCCCTAAATAAATCACGACCGAACTCTAATCAAATAATTATTATGCATCCAAAAATGACTAGAAAAATCCCAAAACAAGTGTCTGTTAATATAATTAATACTATCTTAATTCATTAAAAGAATGAACACATGAGACATTACATTAGTGGAATTAACCCAAAAAAAAAAAACGACAATACTAAAAGGAACTTACATAACTCATTGAGTCATTTCATACATATTATATATCTCTCTATCTAATTAAAGTTAACCAAAATCGCTCTCACTTGATTTCTAATGATAAACAAAAAAAAAAAAAAAAAAAAAGCAAAAGCTTAGGCGTAAACAGAGCTACAAGAAAGCGCCATGAGAAGCACGGCGGCTCTTTCTTCCTCACCGAGTTTCCTCCATAGTCTCTTCTTCTCGACCGCAGATCTCTTCATCACCGGAACTTTGAACCCTAAATCCAAAAATTTACTCACTCCCTTGTTGTTGTTGGTGATGTTGCTGCTACTACTACTCTTGCTGTTGCAAGTTTTGTGATGATCATCATTGTCATCATCGTCTCTGTTAATCTTGTTGTTCTTGGCGTTTCGATGATCAAGGTTAAGATCGTTACTGCTATTGCTTTTCCTGTTCTTCTTCTTCTCGTCTGATCTCATCCCAAGAGCTGCTTGCCTCTTCTTCCTGCTCTTGATCCCACAAGCATTGCACAATGACTGCAATGCAACACAACAAAACAAATCAGATCTATTAGTACCAATGATTAAACATGGATTCAAATTCATCTAATTCAAACAAGGAACTATTCCCACCAGTGAATCAAGAAGAAGACACTCAGATTGTTTATACTATTAATGATCACAAACTTGGATCACTATTTTCAAAAAAAAGTATAGATTTTTCTTGGATCACTGAATTGAAATACACACAAATGTGAAGAGTCTCCCAGTACACTAAATTGCTCCAAACTAGGTATACAAAACGATCAAACCAACACTTAAGTGAACAAATGACTGGATCGGATTATACTCAGATGCTAAAATACGTATGAACAGATCTACTAAAACCAGAAACTACCAAACAACCACTATAAGAAGATAGAAAAAAAATAAAAAAAAAGGGCTTAACCTTTGGACCGGCAGGGCCACCACGCCAAAGAGGAGTTCGGATAGTACCGCAATCAACGCAAGTACGCTTGGTCTCACCACAACTCCCACCGCCACTTCCGCTGCTACTGCAGTTCTCGTTATCAACATCGGATAACTCTTCGGCTGAGTCGATCTTTGTTTTCGTTTCTTCTGATCCCTCAGACATCTTCGAAACTTTAAAAAAAAAAAAAACAATCGAAGCAGAGAGCAAGTTTTAATGATAAGTAAGAGAGAGAGAGAGACGGCGAATAAGAGGCAACTGATAAAAACAAAAACGGAGAGGTGTTTTATAATTGGGGAGAGGGAAGGGCGGGGGCGGAGAAACCCTAATATATCGGGTTACTTGAATTTATTTTAATACACTCGATCGGAGCTTTTATTACTTTTAGACCACCCGCCAAAACAATTAAAAACGAGGGAAGATTTTTTTTATTTTAGTTTTTTAATTTTGCTTTGATAAAAAAAAACAAAGCCAGCCGCATTCAAAGTGGCGCCGATATCTTTTTTATAGGGTTTTGAGTATATTCATAATTAATTGTCTTTTATTTTCAGTTTTGGGGCTTGAGCTTCATAATTATTTTTGTTTTGTTTTAAATTGGTTCTTTATTGTCAACATTTTAATCGGAGTTGAATTCACAAATTCTTTGAATGATTTATCAATAAAGTAATAAAATCTTCCCTCGTATTAATTTTGAGTCTTTATGATTTTAGTGGCTTAAATTCAAAAAAAACTATTCGAATGATTGATCACAACGCTTATTACTCACTCATTTAGTCATCATCAATAGACATTTTAATGGAGGAGACTGAATCTTCTTATAAAATAAATGTACTACTGTATCTGTATGTATGTATGATTACAACCACCGCTTGCCCTTTTGTTAAGTTCTTCCTGCTCTTCCTTGGAATCCAAGTTCTTAAGACACAACAAAGCTTTCTTTTCTTCCTCAATTACAACTTACAAGGAAAGAAGTTGATGACAATCAGTACCATGATTTTGAAGCACTGATCCTACTCGTGTCTTATCTGATCAAATAGCTAGCAAATATAAAAGATGATAACTTTGAGTCGTTGAGACAAGTTTGGGAAACGACCACATCGGAGAGAGACCATCAAGCAAATGACAAGACATCAAAATACGCCAAGATTAGCAAAAATCAGAATATTGGGCTTCCTTTGATGATAGCCTAAAGGCCCACGACCATTTGGTTGTACTTTAGTTATAGAGGAACTTTTAGTACAAAATATGAAAGTACACCAAAACTGGAACTGGAAAGAGCTTATTTGAATGAAGGTCGCATAAAATTATAACCTAAACTTATCAGACTATACAACTCTCATGTAAAACCCTAACTTTTACGGCATCGATCCTTTTGCTTAAACAATGACTAAGATGTCTAATCTTCCATTGGAGTTATTAGAGGAGATATTCTCTAGAGTTCCTTCAAAATCTATGAGAGCAGTACGATCTATCTGCAAGACGTGGAACAAATTATCCAAAGATGAGAGCTTTACAAAGAAACGCCTCGCTCAAGAAGCTATAACAAGGGAAAGAGAGTTTCTGGTGGTCATGGTGATTGACTTTAGAGTTTATCTAATGAGTGTCAACGTCCATGGTACTCAAAACAATGTTGAATCACATATTTCACCTGTAAAGCATAAAGTTCAATCACATATGATTATAAAGCAAAAAGGTCAACTTATTAACCTTCACGATTCAGATCAAGTTGGTATATCAGGAATATGTCATTGTGCTGGTTTATTGTTATTGACTAGAGACGACTATACTAGCCTCGTGGTCTGGAACCCGTATACAGAGCAAACTCGGAGGATCAAACCTAGAAGTCGTGATGAATGGACCTTTCCTGTTTATGCTATTGGATACGAGACGAGAAAATCGTGCCGCCACTACAAAATTTTGAGATATAAGAAATATGATGAGTACGAAATCTATGAGTTAGACTCTAATTCATGGAGGGTTCTTGATGTCACGTCCACCATATGGGAAACAGGGTTTCATCTTAATGGCATCTCTGTGAAAGGCAATGCTTATTGGTATGTTATTCCAAATAAGCCATTAAAAAAGATGAATGAGTTCTTGATCTGTTTTGATTTTACAAAAGAGAGATTTGGACAGCTCCTGCCTATGCCGTTTCACTCTAATGACAAATATATTGTGAGTCTCTCTAGTGTTAGAGAAGAGCAACTTGCCGTGTTATGTCAGCGTTGGGATATATCAAGGATGGAGATATGGATTACTGATAAGATTGAACCCAATGCGGTGTCGTGGACCAAGTTGTTCTTAGAGATAGATATGCAACCACTTGCTGATTATGATCTTGACGTTAAAGATGGGAATTTCCTCATTGACGAGGAGAAGAAAGTCGCTGTGGTTTTTGATAATGGCAAAGAGATGCAACCCCATAACAAAGCTTGCATCATTGGAGAGAATGGATACTTTAGAAAAGTGGATCTCGGAGAATCTGCAGGCCAACTTTATTGGTCTCCATTTGTGTGCTCTTATATTCCAAGTTCAGTTCAAATCTAAGCAAATCTGCAACCCCACTAGCTAGGCAAAAGGAAATGATCAATAAGTCTGTTTAATATATATATACCCCATGAGTTAATTCATTGCATTATTTACTACTCTTGCTTTGTTTTTCTTTTGTGATCTACTTTGAACAATCAGTTACAAACATAAAGATTCATCATATTCATATGTTGATGTTAATTTGTAAGATTTGTTATATTCAATTCTTTCAGTCAACTCATCCTTTGATGAGTTATATGTATAAGATTAGACTTTTATGGCCTTCCTGTACGATGAACTGACTAACACTAGTTTGAAGGTAAGCAACATTCAAAGTCATTGATCAGTTCTCATGTCAAAAAAATATTCTACCAAAAGAATAATTGTTTCCTCAACCTTTATACACTATTTTTTGTTGTTGTTGTGAAGCATGTTTAGTGTGCAATGGAGACCTTAATTAGGTTTGGGATATATGAGCACCTGTTCTTATTTATGAATCAATTTTCTCTTTTTTGTTTTTCGTCTCTGTTCTTATGTCTTAACCTTGGTAGCATGCCTTATGGTTATATATATATATAGACATATACCTATATATATAATCTCTAAAGTTGTCAAATAAGAGTCATATAGTTTTTGGTACATATACATACTTGGTGACAAACTGAAATTGTTTAACATTAATATACATTATTTGGATGTGATCATACTCTTACGATTTGTTTTTCCTTTTTTCAATATACTGTATAGATATAGTCCGTAGGACACGGAAAGAGTTTTAGAAAGTTAGCATATATCTAACTGTAACCTAAGTACCTAAACTTATTACAACATTGATCCGTTGCTTGCGAGCTAAAACAATGACGAAGATGATGTCCGAACTTCCAAAGGAGTTGTTGGAAGAGATACTGGCTAGGGCTCCAGTGCAATCTACGAGAGCAGTACGATTGACTTGCAAACAGTGGAACACTTTATCCAAAGAAGAAAGCTTTACAAAGAAGCACCTAGTTCATGTGAAAGCTGTTAGGGAGTTTATGGTGGTCATAGTGATGGATTTTAAGGTTTGTTTGATGAGCATCAATCTCCATGGGATTCGCAAGGAAGAAGACGTTGAATCATCTATAGAGTGTAAAGGTATTCTTATTAACCTAATCGATGCGTCTGAAGTCTATCATTCCGGTGGTTTATTGCTATCCATCACAAAAGACCACACCAGGCTTGTGGTTTGGAATTCATATTGGGGGCAAACTCGATGGATCGAACCTAGAATTCGTAGCATACCTGTGACGTATGCTATCGGATACGAGACGAGAAAATCATCCCGCAGCTACAAACTTTTGAGTTGCGTGGTTTCTACTATTGCTGGTAACTGTGTTGAGTACAGTATCTATCAGTTAGACTCTAATTCATGGGGGGTTCTTGATGTCCCTTGCGATTGGGCGACAGATGTTTATAGACACGGTGGTGTCTCTGTGAATGGGAATACTTATTGGTATACTCCAGAAGGAAATATGGGTGAATTCTTGATTTGTTTTGATTTTACAAGAGAGAGATTTGGACCGGCTCTGCCTCTGCCGTTTGACTCTAATTGTAAAGATAAAGTGGCTCTAACTAGTGTTAGAGAAGAGCAACTTGCAGTGTTATTTATGTGCCAGCGTATATCAAGGATAGAGATATGGATTACTAACAAGATTGAGCCCAATGATGTGACGTGGAGAAAGTTGTTTTTAGCAGTGGACATGAAACCACTCTGTAGTCTTCTGTCTGACCCTATTAGACATCGGAGTTTCTTCGTTGATGAGGAGGAGAAGTTCGTTGTGCTTTTTGGTTTACACGAAGAGACAGTCCGAGTCCGCAACATAGCATACATCATTGGAGAGAATGGTTACTTCAGAAAGGTAGATCTTGGAGAATCTGCACACGGTTATTGTCTTCCTGTTGGGTGCTCTTATGTTCCAAGTTCAGTGCAAATCAAGCAACTTATAAACGGCAAAAGCAGTTAGTCCACTGACAATACCCGAGTTTTTGTTTCTTGTGTTATGCACTTACTACTATTGCTTTGTCGTCTTTTCTCAATATCTGAACAAGATTAGAATACTTTGTTCGTTTCTCTATCTCTTACATTGTATCCCGCATGAAAAGGACCAGTTTGGCTTATCTCCAGAGGTCGAGTGTATAGCAGCTGCTCGAACAAGAGCACGTAGATGATTGATAAGCCTTCATGTTGTATAAAACTAGCTTGAAATAGAAACAACAAAATTATTCAATACTCAATGTCAAATATAATCTGGCCAAAATACTGTTCTTTCCTAAACTTTTACACGGTATGGGTATAATTAGGGACGAGGCCATCTAGTGTTAAGAATACAAAATCTTTTGCCTTTTGACTGTCAAAAGTTACCTACCAACCGCCATTACCATTCCGCCACTTTCTCGGACTCAGAATGATTTAAAGCTTTGATCAATCGACAGAACAAAACTTCATACTCTGTTCTGCATTTGCGTTCATGTTCTGTTTCTCGCGTCTGCATCAAAGAGGCAAACCGTGGTCAAGATCGGGGTTTCGTTCTCAGACATTTCCAAATGAAAAGAACCCACTTTTCTGGTCCATAAGCCTTCATCGGGTATTCAATATCCAGGATTCTATGAGGCTGACACAGTTTCTCTCGGGAGTCCACTTAGTCTCAGGTCAAGTTCTTCAATAAGACGCTTAGTATATGAATCAGGAACACATCCATATCTTTCCATAGAACTGAACATCTCACTTGCTTCACTCTCTCTTCCAGATTCAGTTAGAGCTTTGATGAGAGTGCTGTATGTAAAGTTATCTGGTTTCAAACCAATCCTCAACATTGTTTCAAGCAAATCCTCAGCCTTCTTAATCTTTCTCATCCTGCAAAAACTCTGAATAATCGCATTGCACGCATAAAGGTCTGGACTTAACCCGTTTTCCTTCATCTTTGCAAACAGCTTTACTGATCTACCGGTATCTCCGGAGGAACAAGAGGAGCGAATCAGGATATTGTATGTGATCTCGTTTGGCTCAATCCCCCATTCCAGCATCTCCTTGAAACAGTCAAATGCATCTTTGATTTCCTTTGCTCGGCAAAGACAGTTAATGATCAAACTAAAAGTGATCACGTCTGGTTTGCAACCATGTTCAAGAAGCTTCTCTAGTATGCCGTGAACCTTCTTTACATCGCCCCTCACACTATAACCACTCAGAAAGGTATTGAAAGTTACGAGATTCGGAGAAATACCTTTATCCTGCATCTCTGTTAAGAACATAGCTGCACGCTCTATCCGTCGAGCCTTGCAGAGACAGTCGATTACTGCATTATAAGTATATACACTTGACAGAAGCCCGTCATCACCCATTTGTTTCAGATACCGATCACCTTCAGAAAACCTATGAGCATTCAACAGAGCTTGAACTACCACAAGATAACCGTTGAATCCTGGCTTAACTCCACGGCTGACAAAACCGTCAAATATCCCACACGTCTCAACAAGATCATGCCCTTTTAAGAGACAATTCATTGCACCATTGAACGTTGAATTATCCATAATATAATCTCGCTCACCTGTTTTCCTCAAGAATAGAGCAGTCTCTTTAGCCATTGAGTTGTTTGAAAGACAAAACAACACAGTATCATAAGCTACTCTATGCAAGTTTGAGTTTTTCTCCATAAACCCAAGCAAAACCTCGAATGCTTCACACGGAGGCAAGCAACGGAAAATCCCATGAACCAAAGTTCTGATTGTAGCTTCATTCGGATTCAAATTTCTCTCCCGCATCGTCTCTAACTGCTTCAAAGCATCCTCGACCCTCCCTGCGATCAAAAACCCGTCGATCAAAATCGTGTACGTGAACACATTGGGTCTGTTCCCTTCTCGTTCCATCTGTTTAACCAATCGAATAGCCTCATCAACCACACCCTTCTTGCAAACACCATGGATGAGTATATTATAGGTAAACCGATCCGGTTTGCAATCATCACTAGGCATCTGCTGGAACTTTAGGTAAGCCAAATCAAGTGAATTAGACTTCACCAACGCATCGATTACAGCGTTATAAAGCCTTGTGCTTGGTTTCATCCCAAGAAAAGATATCTGAGCAAAAACATCATTACTGTACTTAGCTAAACCTAACTTTCCCCAGCTTCCGATCAAAACACACATCAATTCGTCAGTAATCCGATACCCTGATTCTCTAATCTCCTTAAGCAATTCCATAGACAGCAATAAAGGGCCTTTACGGAAAAGGGCGTTTCCTAGAACACTCTTTAGAGACTGATCCTTAGCGTAAACGGGATCGAAGTTGGAGACCCAGAGGTAAAATCGCAGGGAATGTAATGGGTTGTCTTGATTCTGCAAAACGCTGATGACGAATCGAGCGTTCAGACCGATTCGATGAATAGTGAATTCCTGATTCAGGAGCAAAAACCAATCTTTTCTCTCTATGACTTGCGAAATGTAACGCTGGTCCAGAGGTTTGGTGGGTTTACCTGAGGAATTTAGGGTTTTTATGGGTTTTAGATTTAGGGATTTAGCAGGTTTCGCTGCCGCCGCTGCTACTCTAGATGCTGAAGAAGCAAAGCCTCTCATGTCACACCTGTGCAGAGCTCGAGAGTGACCGACCAGAACGGAGCTGAGTGAAAGTGAAGAAACGTTGCTTTTTGGTCTAAAACCTCAAGACTATGTTTCTTAAACGATGTCGTTTGTACATCAATGAGTTCGAATTTAATAAAAGTATATGGATATGGTACAGCAAGTAGTTCAGAAAAAGTCATGACTATGACCAAAGAAATATCAATAATTCAATATAACAAATGTCTTCTTTTATTGTCATCTCCAGTCCTTTGAAACAAACAACAATGGCAAAACAAGATCCCACTAGCAGCAGCAACACGATACCACTCGTAGGATCTGAGTTTGTTCGTCCCCGACCGTTAGATCTAACCATCACCGGAGATACAGTGAAGGACACGGACGGGAACAAAGTTTTCAAAGTCAAAACGCCTCTCTTTGGTCTCCACAACAAAAGAATATTGCTTGATCCTAATGACTCTCCCATTGTCACCATGAAAATGAAGGTTTCTATTTCGCTTTCTTCCCTCTTTGATTACTATGAATTTTAAGTTTTGTTAACCTGTTCGGTTTTCCATGAGTTGAATCTTGGTTATGCCTTTGGATTTGAAATGTAACATAAAAGGTGACTAGTAAGCACGATCGATGGCAAGTGTATAGAGGAAGTGATTTAGATGATAAGATCTTCACTGTCAAAAGATCTTCGACGGTTCAATTGAAGACAAGAGTTGAAGTCTTCTTGAAACATAACCAGACCAGAGAAGCGTCTTGTGATTTCACTATTAAAGGCCGGTTTATGAAACGTGCATGTACAATCTACGTTGGAGATTCTACCAAAATCATTGCTCAGGTACATGAAGGAGATGAGAGATTAGTGGCTACGGTTTACCCTAATGTCGATCACGCTTTTATTGTTACACTTATCTTTATATTTGACCTCATTAATATGGGTGGGACTGGGATTTGATTATCTTAGTTTGAGCATTGAGGGCGTGGAGTTGACTATCTTCTGTTGTCTATTTGTAAAATATGCTTATGTTGTCTATTTGTAAAATATGTGTGTTTTGTGTGTGTCTCTCAATTGTCGTATGATATTTTGTTACGAGAAAGCACCATTGTTTCGAGGTCCATGTGACGGGAAAAAACTGTTGCAATGGTAATGATTTATTTATAAACAATAATGAAAATGTTGACAAAAAACAAAGAACAATTTGGAAATTCTCCTGTTCGCAAGTTATACAAAGACAGTGTTCCACAAAACATACAACACATTAGATATCAAAATGATGTGGTTGAGCTTTTATCACTTCCTATAACCTGCTTCTTGGTACCGGTCCCATCTCTTTGGCCTTAGTCCTCAGGACATGCTTCTGAATTTTTCCAGTAGCCGTCTTTGGTAGCGGCCCAAACACCACTGACTTTGGTACCCAATACGCCGGAAGCTTCTCCCGGCAGAATCTCATTATATCCTGAGCCAACTTGTTCTGGTCTTGCTTCTCGTAACCGCTCTTAACTGTTACAAACGCACAAGGAGATTCTTGCCATCGCTCATCTGGCCTGGCCACAACAGAGGCTTCAAGAACCGCCGGGTGATGGTACACTACGTTTTCGACCTCGACACTACTGATATTTTCACCGCCAGAGATTATAATGTCCTTTGACCTGTCCTTGATCTCGATATAGTTGTCTGGATGTTTCACTGCAATATCCCCTGAGTGAAACCATCCGCCAGCAAAAGTCTCTTTGTTCGCTTCTGGATTCTTTAGATAGCCTTTCATCACCATGTTCCCTCGGAAAACTATCTCTCCAGCGGTTTTTCCATCTGCAGGAACAGGTTTTCCGGTCTGAGTGTCAATGACGTCAAGCTGCTCCATTCCGGTATAGCGGACACCTTGACGGGCATTGAGCTTGGCCTGAGTCTCAGGAGGGAGGGAATCCCACTCGGGTTTCCAAGCGCATACGGTAGAAGGACCATAAGTCTCGGAAAGCCCATAGGTGTGAGCGACTCGGAAGCCCTTCTGGTTCATGGAGAAGAGAACAGAGGGTGGAGGAGCAGCTCCTGCTGTCATGACATGGACTGTATGGGGAAGAGGAAGGATAGTGTCCTCTTGAGGAGCATTCACAATAGTGTTGAGGACCACAGGCGCTGCACAGAAATGGGTTACCTTATACTTGGCTATGTTTGAATACACTTCCTTTGCAGTGACCTGAAACCAAATATTTAATCAGATCTTCTGATCTATGTTAACTTATTTATCATAAGTGAATAAATTCTAAAGTTCTACCTGCCGGAGACAGATGCTTGTACCGGAGAGAGCAGCGAGGGACCAAGTGAAACACCAACCGTTGCAATGGAACATGGGGAGAGTCCACAAGTAAACAGAACCTTCTTGCATCCCCCAAATGAGAGGATTGCTAAGAGCCATTACGTATGCGCCTCGATGATGAAGGACCACTCCTTTCGGGCTGGCTGTTGTTCCCGAGGTGTAACCAAGAGCGATGCTCTGCCACTCATCCGCTGGTGGCTGCCAAGGATAATTTGGGTCTCCGGCTCCAAGAAAATCCTCATACTCTATGGCTCCTTTCGATAAAGCTAGGTTAAGCGATTCGGGAGGACAGGTGTGATCACCTATAACAATTAAAAGCGGGCGCTTGAAGCTGCTACCAGCTTTCTCCTCCATAAGTCTCAAAGATTCCTCTGCCAGAGTAAAGAACTCTTGATCAACCATTATAACAGCGCTCTGTGAGTGACCGAGAAGGAAAGCTACTGTTGGGGCATTGAGGCGGATGTTGACACAATTCAGGACGGCTCCACACATTGGTACTCCGAAATGAGCTTCGTACATTGCTGGAATGTTTGGCGCAATAATAGCCACCTGAAACGACACAAAAGCGTCATTATAAACATTTCTGGTCTAGTGAACCATTCAGATTGCAAACAAAAAAAGACCAAGCAAACAAACCAATACTTTTCATGATAAATAAAATAAAATTAAAAAAAAAAGGTAACAAAACATCGCCATCACCAGTGCATCTATGAACAAGATTCCACAACACAACACAGATTCTAATATGAAATCGATTATAATTAAGGCAAATCTAAAGTAATCAATTTTCCTAGCCAATTGTACGTGTCTCTTCAATTATGGAAAAGTCGAAATATTTGATTTAACGTCACAATAAAACGATTCGACGTTACCGGAAAATAACATTTAAGCTAGAGTCAACAGCTACTCCAAGAATCCACCGGAGATTTTTGGGAAATAGGAGGAGCAAAAGAGCGATTACCGTAGAACCGGGGCCGATAGATCGATCGGCGAGAGCGGAGGCGAGTCGACGACATCGTTCGTAAGTCTGCCGCCACGTGTACTCCTGAGATCCGTGAATCAACGATTTTCTCGTCGGATGAACCGCCGCAGCCCTATCTAAGAACCAGAGCGGCGTCAACGCCGTGTAGTTGGCTTGAATCTTCGGAAGATCGTCGATGTCACGCCACTTTGTTGCCGCCATATCAGACTCTCTCTCTCTCTCTTTGATTTTTTGGTTGGGTTGTTTATTCAAATCTGGAGTGAGTGCAGAATCCAATCACTAAAGTCACGAAGACGTTGGTGAAGTCGTAAAGGCAGGAGGAAGCTGTTTATATGGTGTATGTGTCTGGTTGTTTTGGGTGTGGTGTAATTGCCACGTGGCGTATTCTGAATTTTTCCCCGGTTTTATTTTGTTTTGCGGACCGGAAAAACATATCCCAAATTAATTTGAACCGAACAACATTGTAAGGTCCTCGATGCACATTGAAGATCAGGCTGACTGTTACTGACGATAACAAGTTCGACTACGCCAAATGGGAAGCTTTTATCGGTTGTGTCCGAATCTCGACATTTTTCTATTTATTATGGTAGTTAATCTTTTTTTTTTTGGGTCAAAGCGATGGTAGTTAATTCTAATTCTAATTCATTCTAGTGGCCAGTAGCTATAAGGAAGAAAATGGCAAGCGTATCACGTTATTTACATGTGTTGGAGATTAGTTTGTCTCTTGATTCAAAATTTCTTACTTATCAAAATCCGAGTTTGCTGCTCCAACCATTACCAAACTAATACCTATTCTGTTTAGTACTTCAGGTGCTTCAAATTCTTTTAATTTACAATATTAACAAAATTTCAGTATACTCTTTATCAAAGAATATATATTTTTACGAACATTAAAGTACATTTAATTTATTTCCCAAATGTTCTACTACATTTGACCAGACTGGATTTGATGGGAATGCTGTACTTAGTTAAAGAAAGAATGACGTACATACGTAGACGACCAAACATCTCTGTTTTTCGAATCCTTTTTATGGTATACTTTATCTTATCCACCTAACATAATTGATGCATTGGCTGGTAAATTATTTAATGTCAGTCATGCATTACCACATGTATAATGTGTACAAATACAAATACAACTACAAGTCTACAACTACCATTAACTCAAATCTTTAATCGTCGATCATGCCTAGTAATTTTTTAAATGTCAAATATTTCGGATATCCTTGGATCGTATATTTTTGTGAATAGAGTTTTCCCAATAAATAAATTGCACTTCTTTTGACCGAACTAGGAATGTGTTTTATCCTTTTCGTGTGGAAAATATTGTAAATCGTACGTATGTTCTTTACAAAATATCGAAAACCAAGCCCATGAAAAAGTCAAAAACACATTATACACCAAACTCAACCGAACCATGTTACATAAGAACATCACTCAAGAAGAGGAGCCAGAGCTCGGAGGAGCAGATGAGGAGGAAGAAACGAAGGGTTCTTGATCGGCGCACGATAGAGTCTCGTGAGGACCAGCTTCTTCTCTTCCAACGCCTATCAGATCAAGATAATACAAGTAGTGAGAAACGATGTTGTTCATCTCATCGTTGTCGAATCCGCTGTTGCAGATTTGATCGCCGTAAAGAACGTTTATGGTGGCTCCGAACCCGGGAGCTCGTTTCGACGCCGTGTCGTTCTTCGTCGGCTTCCATTTCCCGACGAAGACATCGTGCGCTGACGGCAAGTGCTTCTTCGGTGGTGTCATCCACCTCCAAATCGCCGCCTGAAACGCCAACGTGGCGTTGTTCTCCAGATACTCTGGGTGACTCAGTAGGTCCACTTTCAAAGCCTCCCCGGTTTGACCATAATTGTAATTCCTAAAACCAGATCAGCGAAAACGAAGTTGAACCGGGAAATTGAATTAGAGTAAACCAGAATAATTTTAATCAATACGACGTACCAGTAAACCGGTAATGCTCCTCGGCCGTGGTACGAGACTCCAGGGGTACAAGGGTACGTCAATTTGTAGTAATCGTCGCAATAGAGCTGATCAGGACTCATCTCCTTGTTGTAACACAATCCCCAAGCTAATGGTCCGCCCGTTGCAACCCCGTAACCGCCTTTTAAATTTAATGATTGTGCCGGTTATTAATCAGCGATTCCAATTCCCGGTTTTGGATCATTAAAAAAAAAAACTTACATGAGGTTTTGCTACCAACGTGGCCAAGAAACGCAGCGACTTCCTTCATGCGTTGAAGTTTCTCACCGGTGGTACCGAAGCCAAGAGGCTGATACTCAGCGGCGGCGGTGATGAATGATCGGTAATCCCAAAACCCGACGGCGTGAGCCACCGGGCTGTTACGCTTAGAAAATAGATTCTCGAATTGATATGTCTCAAAAAAATCGGAGATTGTATGGTTGCAACAATACTGGGACCATCCTTTACATTCCCATCCTTTGTCGCATAACTTTTTGCCTTTCACAATCTTCACCAGAGGCTTTCTCGCTGAGCTAGAAGTCTCGGAACCTTCCTCTTCGGCCGTGGCTAGAGTTCCGGTCAGAAACATGACCAATGCCACCGTGAGAAGCAGCAGGAAGAATAGCGTTTTTGAAACCATGGTTTTGGTCAATTCTTTTTTGTCTTTTTCTTATCAGTGAGATCATTGTTTGTACAACTATATATAAAAAGCAGATATGTATAGAGTAGTGTCGTGTTCGTTTTAGGAGGAATTAGGTTTTCGGGATTTGGTGGTAGGAGAAGAGTTGCTTTTGATGAGTTTTGTTTTTGCTTGAAATTGAAGTTTCTTAGAATGGAAGTTACAATGTTGTGAAGGTTGGTCGGAGCATGGACACGTACAACTGTTGACGTTACAAACTTTATTTTTCTAGCAGAATCACTTATTTGAATCAAGGAGTTAATTATAGTGATTGTAACGTATTTGAGTTTAATGGATTTTGCTGGATTCACTGTAACTTTTTTGTATTTCACCGTTGTGTAGTTTTGCTAATTGCTATAGATTTTCTTGTATTTCTAAAACATCTGGATTGTAGAATTTCGGTTAAAAATAAAAAAAAATATATATGAGAATTTAATGAAAAAACCCTCAACATTGGCCGGATCCATTTTTAAACCCTCAACTATTTTTTTAATAAATAAAATCCTGAACTAAAAAACATTAACAAATTTAACCCTCTGTCTATAAAATCATACATTTATACCGTTAACAATTGCGTATACTCTAGCAGAACAGTAAAACAAAAAACCACTAGGCATATTTTTAAACATATTACGATCACAACACAATTTTTTCGATTATAGTATTCTGCAATTCCTGATGGAAAATATAAAATTTTCTCATATTTTATGCAAAATGCTTATTCTGAAACATATTTACAACAACAAACAAAAAAATTTGACTTACCACAATATTTTACAAAATTCAAATCAGATTTAATAAACATATGTTCTCTCCATACCTCACTCCATAATGGAGACTCGATGAGTTAATGTCATCCATCATTAAATTTAATTATGCGTCTCACCCTTGATTAACTCTGTGTCAATCGCCTATTAAACCTACTTTAGTTTCTTTTTCACTAACCGTTCAACATTTGGCATTTTGAGGTTTTAGGATTTCACGATTTGTGAGTTTTTTTGGTGATCTATTATTCGACGTGTGAACGTTTATGGAAAACGAAGGTTATTAAGAGAAGGTTTGTTGTTAATTTTTGTATTTAAAAACTAATGCTTAGTCTTTTTTTGTTTCAGTTAAACAAACGTTGATTGCGTAGAAGAGATTATTACGGGTGTTTAGGTTTTTATAGGTGGAGGGTTAAATTTGTTAATGTTTTTAGTTCAGGGTTTTATTTACTAAAAAAATAGTTGAGGGTTTAAAAATTGATCTCACCAATGTTGAGGGGTTTTTTCCATTAAATTCCCAATATATATATCAATCACTCATAAAATTAATTTTTTTTTTTGGGTTTTCTCGATCTAATCTGGAATTTTTTTATGAACACAAGAGATCATTGCCAATTGATGATGAATACAAATACATATGAAGAAGTCATAGCTTATCTGGTATTTATGAAATTTGACCGGGACACAACAGATCTTTGATTCCAAACTTGCTCCGTTTCATAATATAAAATCATTCTCAATCTCATTTTCCAAATCTTGCTTCGAGACGACATCAATGGTGGTTTCGTGAAACATATATTGTAAGACCCGCCAATAAACGTATCAGTGAATTTTGTTTACAAAATCCTTGGTTCATCGTCTTCATCATAGAAGAATGATCAAATTAATCCTTTTTTTGTCTTTAGTCATTGCTGATTCGTTTCCCTTGATTTAGTTCCATGTGTTTTGTGTTCAACTGTTCATCCTTCCTCATTCAAGTGAAAGCAATAAATTTTGGAGTTATTTAGTTTGTTTGTATTTTATAAGTACTTTAAAATACGAGATCAGATGCTTGTATTTGTTATACACATGTTTGATACAAAAGAATACGTCAAAATCCGTTCTGACTAAATTCAACAAAATCTAGTTTAGATTGAATAACTCTTGTTTTTAGTGTATTTTAAAATACATCCAACAAATGATTAATCCAATAAGGGAGGATTTTAGGAGATGGTGACTTGTTGATATTTGGTCCCAAATGGGATAAGAACCCAAAACCATTGCTTTGAGGAAGGGAATGGCTTGTATAAAGTTATTGATTTTTGTAAATTTATTAACTTGATTTCTATTTTTTCAAATACATCAACGAATAACACCCGATTTGCTTTAATTGTATTTCAAATACATTAAATTACATTATTCAATAACCACTACAACCCAATTAAACTTTACAAAAGTTAAAAGAAAAGAAAATAATAATGTAATATAGCTATTTGTTTTATGGGCCTGATTACAATAAACGGTTGATAAATAAGTTTTGGATAGAAATTGGAAATCGCTTTGGTCAAGAGAATATACACATTTGAGCGGTTTTGTTGCAGTAGATAATACTTTTGAACTAATTTATTCATTTGTTAACTTTTTTTTTTTTTTTTTTTTTTTTTGGTTTGTGAACCAAATAATATTAAACGAGTTCAAACGGCCTCCAGAGAGGGATTACAATCTCAAAGGGCAGATTTAGCTAAGGCATCCGCCGAAGCATTCTCAGACCTTGGAATGTGATGAAAGTAAATTGATAACAGAGATGAAGCTAGAGAGTAAATATCATCTAGTAAACGATTGATCTCATTGACGTGGCCTCCGGAATTGAGAAGTTGGATTAGAACTAAACATTAATTGTAGCATGTTATTTAGAAAAATAGTACTCCAATATAGTTATGTTGATGTGTTGGTTCCACAACGAAACAACATGTCCTCAGCAACACAACTTGGTTAATTACTAGATTTTCCGTCTTCTTTCTTTTTCTCCATTTGATTTCCTTCATTTATGTGTACGTCCGTCTCCTATAATTTATACTACAGAGAAAGCTTATTTGCCTCGATTATATGACCCTTTGGTTTTTATGTGCTTATAGAAGCTTTTAAACTTCTGAATCTGCGACATTAAAAATAAAGGAGAAGAAATATATAATTTTATCTTTAGTCTGCAATAGTTATTTATGTGTTAGTTGATTGCTATGTTTAGTGCAACCGGTGGTGTAGACTATATGAATACGTGTTTCCACAATAAGTTAGCGAGCACAATAAGTGGCGAACCAAGTGGCGTGAGTCATATATTATACGAAAAAGATGTACGTACTACCGAACATAACTCTTTAGTGGTATGTGATAATTCAACAAAAACGATTATATATATGGTAATCTCTCGACAACAAAAAAAAAAAGATAATTTCGATGTATATTTTCCGAAATAAATGATGCATAAGTTTATTAAATTTACGTGGAAGTTATGTATATGTGTATCAAAGTTTGTAATAAAAGGCTTGCATAATAATATAAAGGAGATCCTAATTAACAAGTAACAAAACCTGTGGTTGTACAATGGCAAATTATGGTTGATGCATAGTTATATACGTAGAAGATGATACAGTTCGTATCTTTTCATCTACATTTTTGGCTTTTATTTTACCCAAGCAAAAAAAAAATTAACCGCTATACATTTAACCGTTAAGTCAACTATATATATATATATATATATATATATATTTCTTTTGTATCGCTTGTAATATTTTAAATTATTCTCTTATCAGATACAATTTAGTTTTCTTAAGATCATTAGATCATTTAGCAAAGTTCCCAATACATGTCCAATGTAAAGAAAGTTGGTGGCCATTTATTGATGCGTTAGTAGATTATTTTGTAAAGGTGTTCTAATAGAGATTATTAAACTTTATAAAAGAAAACAAAATAAACATTACAAAACTAAACAATAAGCATTACATTATATGGATGTATTATTTCGCCCGAGGGAGAATCATGAATATATTGTCCAGTGTCCACTAATCCCAAGTGGTTGAAAGTTTGGTTCGCATGCAGGTTTCTATTTTTGGACGTCCAAAAGAATCTAGAGAGAAAAATATATGTAGATGAGATAGTTTCTTTATCTATATTTTATAATTAAAATTATGTAAACCCAAAAAAAAAACGAAGGTTTAGCACTTTTATACAAACATTATCTTTGTAATTCATAAAAGTTAACCTCGCTAATTAACGAAACTGAAACCCCACTAACAAAATAAACCCTACTACAAGATAATGGTCGAGTAATAAAATAAAATAAACCCTCGCTCCTCCGCAAGGTAGCTACGCACTCAACCATCTACAACATCTGGCGTAATCGAAACAACGTCTTGCACAACGATCAAAGGCTTCCCACTTCAGTCATCTTCAAGGTTATTGATAAAGAGGTTCGCAACACCATCTACGGAAGACGACGAAGAAAGCGCTGGAAAACTCTTATGGGTCTATGGCTTAGATAAGACTTGTCCTCTTTTTTCCTAAATTATTGTAACCTTGTTTTTTATTCTTTTTTTGCCAAGGTTATTTTTGTTTTCATAGGTTTTTGCTTTGCTGTAAAACCTAAACCTTCATTTTTAAATGATATTTACAAGTTTAGCAAAAAGAAAAGATAATGGTCGAGTTTGAAGCACAACAAGAATGGAGAGTTTGTCGACACTGATTCTACTTCTAAGTATCCTCCTCACTCCACTATGAAGAGTGTCAGTGATCACATTGACGATACAGGTACATTTCTTCTTACTTTACTCTGGAATGTATTTGAGTTCCGACGGTGATCTTATCGACTACGTCAGGAGAGAAGACGAAATAGCTTTTCGTCATTCTTTTTTCAAAAACCATCTACTTCAGGTTAATTTTTCAAAAAAAAAATCTCGTTTAACAGAAATTAACGAGAGAAAAAAATTATGAATGTGTTTTATGTGACGGGGAAAAAATTAATCATGTTTGTGTTGCTGTTTTCTTCTTTTGTAAAAAACTGATACATGAAAGACCAATATACATGTCATATACGGTGAAAAGAGAAGACGATGCAATATACGGATGGCAAGTCTGGCACAAGAACACGACAAATTTTTTGGAGGAATCAATTCCAGTACGTAGACTGATTTCTCATCCGAACTAGACTATCAGTTCTCACGCCGTGGATATAGTCACCAATGGACATGAGATACATATTCTTTATTAGTTATCTTTTTTGGTGAGCTTAAATTACAAATTCTATAAGCAGCCTTTCATTTTAGTTGGTTCTAATTCTTTTTTTTTTTGAGTTTATAATCAACAAACTCTTAATCGACTGCCCTAAAGAGAGGAGACCAAATAACATAACCAAAAGAAAAAATCTGAAAAAAATCAAGCAAGATAATAGAATCGTATACAATTGAAAAATGGTGACAATTATAAATGGTATACAGTTGAGAAACAAGTGATAATATTCATATCTATATTTGTTATTTAATTTCTTATGTTTTGCTTATATTTTACTTATGTTTTGCTTATATTTTACTTATGTTTTGGTTTTCCTTATAAAAAGAATCATTAATAACCTATATCAATCTTTTACAATTATGAAACATCTTACCACCATATATGGCTAATCAAATCCAATTATTTTTGGAGACGCTTAATTCTACCTCACCAATAAGATGTAGAAGATTAGATTATTCATATTATCTCATATATATTTTGTAATCAATATATGAATATATATACACAAATGTAAGATGAATATATATTTTGTATTTCAAGAGTTGGTAATGTTAAATTATTACTAGAGTGAGGTTATAAAAAGAGTGAGGATCGAAGTCCATTTACGTATGATTAAGAATACGTTTTAATAATATGCAGATTTCAAGAGAAAATTACTTATTATCATAAACTGTTTTCTTATTTCATTACATTTTTTTGCAAAAAAAAAAGATTCGCATTAAGTCAACGGAAGTTTGTGAAAAATCAATAAAAATAAGATCATCACAAGTACAAATTATGTTGTTTCGCCATATTTTGTAAATTCATTACTTTTAACATTTTCCCATTTTGTTTGTTAACAAATAAATGACTACTTGAATAGGAGTAACATAAAGATTCCACTCACTCGTAAAAAGTGGACAAGATAAAATTATTATGATATATGCATATCATTAATATTCCATCTGTTTTACTAAAAATGTTATTTTGACAATTGACATATTTCACACAAATTTTTTAAAACGTTAATATATATATATATATATATGCTCTTATTTAATAAGTGATTTATGAGTTTAATTAAAGATAAAATTAAATTTTTTTTTTGTAAATTAACAATATATTAAAAAATATAGAATGATATTTTTGTGAAATAAAAATAAAACTCTAAAATGACATTTTAATACATTCTAATAATATGAAATATTGAGTTATTGATCGTCAGAGGTTATAAAAAGAGTTGTGATGAAGTCCATCATTGTTATACATATATGTACGTATGATTAAGAATATGCTTTATAATATACAGATTTCAAGAGAAAGTTACTAATTATTAATTATTTTTTTTTTTTTATTGCATTTATTTGTGAAAATAAGATTCAAATTAAGCACAATAACTTAGAGAAAACAAATGCAACGGTAGAATCATCAATTTTGAGAGATAAGTTTGAACTACATTTGGCAACAACAAGACACGGGACATGGAATACAAGGAGAACCGCAGTCTCCACCTTTCTTAAATCCAGCTTTGATACAATCTCTCATACATTCATCACGTCCGTAGAATTCTGAACAATGAGTACTGCAGTTGTCAAATGAGAAATTTTCCTTTCCTGCATCCATACAAATCCACACATATAAATTAAATACAATTGATGCAAATATGTGTATATTTAATATAACATTTCAATAAAAAGATAGTTAAATATATCATGTCCGAATAATATAATGTGTTAACGGAACTTTTGAATGTATGTTTACATATATACTACAACAGAAAAAATGGTCATTACAAAGTCTATACATATATTTTAAATTTAGCTTTTGAAATCATCACTACTAATTATCTTTTAAAAGGCTAAATTAAAACGAAAATATACCTGAAGCCAAAACATTTTGGTTAAACAATGAAACTGCAAGTGTTATTGCAAGGAAACAAGTCACCAAAGTTTTAGTACTACCCATAGTAATTTTTTCTGTATGTGAACTCTGTTGAGGAACTCAGATGTTTTTTTTTGTTTCAGATCTTATATATATATTGAATCTATTTATATAAATTTCCTGGTCTTCAAAATTTATTACTATTATTAATTGAGTTTACATCTTTTTGGTCAAAGCTCTTTTATATTTTTGGTAAAGATCATTTACATTTACGAATATGTAAATAATTACAGTTAATGATCATAATGAGAAGTTAAGATTTCAAAGACTTTTTAACAAGTGTGAATATTAGTCAAAGACTACTTTGTTGGATATATTAATTTAAATGCAAAAATTAGTTTCATAATTTAATATTGGGAAATTTTGTTTATAATTAGGTATATGGTATAAATGTGATCAGATTTTAGAATGGATATGGAAAAAAGAAATTCAAATGAAAACTACATATTATATGTAAAATCATTAACTTTTTTTTTCTTTTCTTTTTTGGTTAAAGGTAAAATCATTAACTTTTTTTTTGTGGCAGAGGTGTTAAACCCAAATAAACCAATCTGATCCGATCTTAACCAAAACAAAATATTCAGTCGAAAAACTGAACCAATTCACCACAACAATAGGACTATAGGAGTAACCCTATCCTCCCTTGTCCCCCTAGTCTAGTTATCAAGTCCTTTGTTGATGCAATCTCTTTTTCTACATATCCTTAAATTTGACACACTGGTCTCTAACATTATGCATTGAGATATTGAAACTTCCTAGATACACTAATTTTACCAATTAGCACATATCTTCTCAAGAAAAGCTGCCAAGTCTTGTTTGTCCAAATCACCCTTAGCACAGAACTATTCAATAGTTCTATAATCAATGAAAGGGAACTAAAGAATATTCAGTGAAAACAAGAGTATACTATCGTCAAGTTGTTCCCGTTGTTTCTACTCTATCATCAAGTTGAGAAATTAATATACTATCAAGAGTATTTTACTCTCTTTTACTTAGTAGTATTCTTAATCTTATATTAGTTTAGAATATACAGTGTACACTTGTATATAAAAAACATTGTGTACACATTTACTAATTAATAAAAATAGTCACAACTTTATCAATCTCTCTCTAGCTCTTCGTCTTCTTCATCTTGTTTCTGTTAGAGAGTTTGTGAGATCTCATGATTTGTATGAAGCAAGAATCATGCCTTCTATTCTAACATAAATCTCTCGACTTCTCTCCATCCCCCTCATCATCAAAACCCATATGCATGCTCCTTTCTCCATTTCCATGAAAGATCCCGAAAAGAGTGGGCGTATTATCCAAACAAGCGTACATACATACTCTTCTCATTTTCTGTATCAGAGAACTTGGAGGAAGTCTCAAAATACATTTATTACGGTTTCGAGGACTATACCTTCTTCATTGCATAGCGCAAAAGCATTTCGTATTTCTCCTCTGCCTTAAAGTAAAAGTATAAAAACCTTGGGAACATGGCGCTCTCGTGCATGCATTGCTCAGGCTCTCTCCATTAATGAATTGTGGAACTTGGAGAGTACTCTCTTACACTTGAATGAATACATCTTTTAGAAAATCAATCTTCACTCGAAACCTTATTGTTTTGGTATCAACTATTATTATTATTACAGAATACGTATGTATGGTACGACGTCATATATACACGGAAGTGATTGCTAATTACCTATATATTACATTATCTTCAAAAATATATAATTTTTGTATTGCAATATATATAAAAGATTGCAAATTTGCAATGGTTATTAAATGTTCTGGATAATTGGCTAGTGTCCAGATCAGTGGGTTTGCCGGTTTAATTAATTAACCAAGCGATCGAGACGATTAAGTCTAGAGTTCTCTATATAAAATTGATAGGCAAATTAGTTATGGTGTCCAAAATCATATAATCTCTTCTGTCATTATTTACTTTAGTAAAGTCACCAACCAATAATTATTTGTTTAAATAATGATTTTCTAATTTCAATCTTTAATTGTAAATTTTGACTAAATCTCCCCATGTTCATCTTCATCTTCAAAAATAATAATACACTATAATAGTAATATGATAATATTGAGTTATTGCTAGTGAAAGGGCATAAAAAGAGTTTTGATGAAGTCCCTACACATATCAAGAGAAATTATTTATTATTATAAACTGTTTTTTTTTATTTATTTATTCCATTGCATTTATTTGTAAAAACAAGATACAAATTAAGTCCAATAACTTAGAGAAAATAAATGCAACGTTAGAATCATTAATTTTGAGGGGAGAGGATATATAAGTTTGGATTACTTTTGACAGCAACATTTCAAAGGTTCTGAAAAAAGAAGATGAGCACACACTCCACCTTTAAACCCAGCTGTAATACAGTAGTTCTCACATTCAACCTTTCCATAACACCGAGGATGGCAGTGGTCAAATGATAAGTTTTCAGTTCCTGCAAGTCCACATATATATATTTAAATATAGCTTTTGAAATGATCACTACTAATTTTCAAAATATAAAACAAACTTTACATATACCTGAAACCAAAACGTTGTGGTTAGACATCGATACTGCAAGTATTATTACAAGGAAACAAGTCACCAAAGTTTTTGTGATACCCATAGTAATTTTTTCAATGAACTCTATTGAGTAATTCAAATGTTTATATTTTTTAGAGATTAATTCAGTTTATATAACTCTTGGTCTTAACTTTTTTTTTTTTTATTACCTCTTTTTTTCTGTCAAAGTTGTTTTTTTTTTTTGTGACAAAGAATCATTTACATTTAAGAATATGTAAATATGACAGTAAACGATCATAATGATAATTTAATATTTGAAAAAGTGTATGACACTTGTGCATATATATGGTCAAAGAGAATCTGTTGGATACATTGTCATTATGATTAATCAATATCTTAAGTTAAATGCTAGATTTTATTTCATATTTGAACGTTGGAATTTTTTTTATTTAATTAGGTATAGATTTTCTTTCCAAAATTGGTATCCAAAAAAGAAATTGAAATGAAATGTATAAATTATTAACTTACTTTCGTTTTTTTTTGTTTGTGAAAGGTAGAATCATTAATCATTATGTTATTTACGTGTCATTAATATACGTTTTATAATATAGATTTCAACCAAAAATAACTCATTGCAGTAAATAATTTTCAAATATCATTGCATTTATTTGTAAAATCAAAATAAAGATCATTAAGTCCAATAAGTACTTAGAGAATCCACAGCTTTTGAGAAAGGGAATATAAAAAGTCTGAATTACTTTTGGCAACAACATCTTTTGGGCTCTTTAGGAGAAGGAGAAGCACAGTCTCCACCATTGTTGAAGTCAGCCAAGTAACAATCAGTCATGCACTCAAACCATCCGTATTTAGGCGTACACAAAGTGCTGCAGTTGTCAAATGAGAATTTCCTTTTGCTCTCTGCATCTACACAATTTGTACTAAATGTCACAAAGTGTAACACAAATGTCACATAAAAATATAACTCTTAAACAAAAAATCGATGTAAACATGTGCGTCTCTAAATCTTATACTAACAGACCCATAACAGACGATTGTATTGATAACTATACGATTGTATAACATGTCTAAACAATAGAATTTTAACCAAAAAAAAATTAAAGTTTACCTGAAGCCAAAACGTTGTGGTTAGACAACAAAACTGCAAATATTATTACAAGTAAACAAGTCATCAAAGTTTTTGTATTACCCATAATATATATTTTTTTTTGTATTAGATGTTTTTAGAAATTGAGATGATTTTAACCTTTTGATCTGAAAGATAGGCTCTATTTATATTACTTTTTGGTCTTCTGATTTTATTTATTATCAATGATTTTCCATAATTGTAAGTCAAATTTGTATTATTTTTGGGGAAAAAAATATTTGAATAAAGGATTTTGCAATTTTAGCAATACATGTATTTGAATAAATGCTTGACTTGTATTTTTTTAGCAATACAGTTTTTTGAATAAATCAGAGAGAAACTAAATTTCAAATAATGTTCAAGATTTACTGCAACAATGTTAATTTTTTCTAAAGTGGTATAAGTTTTATTTGATATCAACACTGATATCGAAGAACAAACTGAAACAAAAACTACATACAGTATATATGTAAAATACTATAACGCTTTGTGCTATATATAGGTGGTTGATCCCAGCTAAACCAAACCGAATGCGATATTGACCAACCCAAAATGTTCATAGATCCGAAGTTTTTTTGTTGAATATTAAATAAAGAAGGAATGTTAATTTTTTTTTTTTATTTTTTTTTTTTTTTTTTTTGTAAAAGAGGAATGTGATTTTGTTGAACTCCATAAATATTTTTTTTGGTTTGGATGTTAACAGAGTGCATCACAAACGTAAAACGTCAACTTGATACTCTGTTTAAAAATCCTTTTAGGAAACGATTACTTACAAAAACAAGATTTCAAAACCATCGAACTCTAATCTAAATTAGCGCTAGATTTTAACCAAACAATTTGTTTTCCTTATTTTTTTTTTTTAAACTATATATATTTTGTTAAGGTTTATTTAATAATTATTAAGATTGCATAATACCAATTTTCATTTAATAATCTTGATTCTCTTTGCTTTCAACTATTTTTGTGCATACCCTTCTTTCTTCTTACCTTATGAACTTGTTGTAGTGATTGGTGCCTATTCACATGTTCTGGATCTCTGGCTAATATCATTCAGAACAGAGAACCATGCTATGCTTTCATCATCATCGTCTCCAACTTTGCCATGATTCAGGACCTGTAATTCCAAACAGATGAGAAAACGAAGAAAGAATGATTCATGGTTATCTTCCAAGTATATCTAGAGACCACCATCAATGCAGAGATAATCTAAGTATAATGCCTACCTGGACGATGTAGCATAGATGGGACAAGGCATTTTCTGAAAACCCGACAAAGCAAATGGAACCACACTAGGTTCTTGAGGAACTAAACCAAACTATAAATATCAAGATCTCTGTAATTGTCAATTTTTCTGATCTCGTGTTGAGTATATTCAACCGATGTCTTCAAACTCATCTGTATAACGTAATGTCCTTTTACGATTCCTTCACTTTAGAGCATAGATGGACATTACCAATTAGATTCTTCAGTCCACTCTCGACCTTTCAGAGGTTATATATGAACAACATTAATCACGATGAATCCATGATGATCAACCTTTCTGAATCACTTTGATGAGGAAGACAGAAAACTTTTCGTAATTCCCGCTGTTCTTCCAACAACAAATCTCTTTAGGACCTGCAAAATATATAAAACAAAAACCTTGTTTAGAACATCAATCTCTTTTTACAAAATATAAAAGTAGAATATAATTTTTTGTTATGGTTTTTTAAAGATCAAGATTAATATTGGGTGATGAAAAGACGACATCATGTCACCTTCTTGACATCATCTAGATTTTAAAACCATTTGAAACTCTACCAAATGAATTGGTTTGAAAACCTTTCCTCACTAATTGGCTTGTGTGCTCAAGGGACGTAGTTCCTTATTTATATATGCGGACCATCTTAACCATTTCACCCCCTTCCCCTTCATAAGCCGCAAATTACTTTATAAATTAACCCTTTTCTCCAGTAGTTATTATGCAGCACCATCAACCCTTTTCTCATTCTTAAACTTCACTTAGGCTTACTACGATCTTTTACCGAGTCAAGGCATTTGATAAAAGACAGACATATCCCTATATGCACCACCACTCATAAACTTCAAATGAGCTTATGCTCAGGTTTTTTCTTAGCCAAACCTGAGGCCTGTAGAAAATTCGGGACCAAGTTTGTACCATATATCATGCAACAACATCAACCGGTTGGTTTATAATGCGTATGTACCAAGACACTTGAATAGACAATCCGTAAGCAAGTTTCACGCACCACATCAGTTCCCGATTCATAAGTTTAATATAAGTAGCTTACAATGGGTTTTCTATCCGATAACATTTGTATAGTCAAATCCGGACCTAGTATCGTGAACCAAACTCTTTCCCATTTATAAGCTTATTATGACTAGCTTACAGTAGGGTTGTAACCGAGGCATTTGTATAGACAATCCGGAACCAAGTATCATCATGCACCACACTCTTTCCCATTCCCAAGCTTGTTAAGATTAGCTTCCAAATGGGTATTAACTCAGACATATTCCCTACCACTCATAAACCAGAATGAGGTAATAAAGAGTACAGTACTAAGTATCATGCACCACCAATCTACCCTTTTTCATTAATAAGCTTTGACAATATGAATTTGTTAACAGAACAGAGGCATTTGTATAGCCACTTGGAACAGAGTATCATGCATCCTTTTCCCATTTATTAGATCTTAATTAGTCTTCTTGATGAGCTGAGGCAATTGTTTAAAAATTTGTGGGTCAAATATCATGCCTTACCATCTACACTTTCCCATTCATAAGCTCATGAAGAACTTATATTGTGTGTTTTAAAACTGTGTCATCACTTTTGTGTAAACAAAGTGTTATGCAACAGTATCAACCGATTGGCTTATAATGCGTTATTTTAACCGAGGCATTTGCATAGACAATTCGGAAGCAAGTTTCACGCACCACACCAGTTCATGTTCATAAGCTTCTTATGATTAGCTTACCCCAGGGCTTTAAGAGGAATTTGTTTTGACAGGTATATCATGCACCACACTCTTTCACATTCCCAAGTTTATCAAGATGAGCTTTCAATGGGGTTAATTTAGCTTTTTAACCAAGGCATTTGACTAGAGAATCGGGGACCTAGAGTATCATGCACCACACTCTTTTTCATTTATACAAGCTTGTTAGAATTTAGCTTCCATTGTAGTTTTTAACCAAGGAAATTGTTAGAACAATCCAAGACTAGGACAAGTATCATGCATCACACTCTTTGACAATAAGCTTATAATGGGTTTTTAACTGAGGCATTTATATGGGTAAATTAGGGACCAAGTGTCATGCACCACACTCTTTCACATTCTCAAGTTTCCCAATAAGTTTTTACGTTTTAATCAAAGGCATTTAAGTAGAGTTTCAGGGACCAAATTATCATGCACCATAGTCTTTTCCCAATAGTAAAGCTTACACTATGACCAAATTATCATGCACCACGGTCTTTTCCCTGTAAGCTTACACTGTGATAACTTAGAATGGGTCTTTTTAAATGGTCGGGACCAATTATGATAGAAGACTGGAACGAGAGATTTTTAAAGCCGATTCCAGACCAAATAACATGCACCACCACCAAAATTTATCTCTGTTTATAACCGAGCAAAGTGTTTAGTTAATTAGTTTTAAACCGATCTGGTTATTAACCAATAGAACAATATGGGACTCGGAACAAGTATCATGCACCACACTCTAACCTCCAATCATAAGCTTATGATGGGTTATTGTAAACCGAGGCATCTGATTAGAACATTACCGAAACAGAGGCTTTTTTTATAGACACTAGAAACAGAGTATCATTCATCTTTTTCCCATTCATTAGATCCTTATCTTCATGATGAGTTGAGGCAATTGTTCAAAAATTTCTGGGCCAAATATCATGCTTCACCATCTACACTTTCCCATTCATAAGCTCTTGATGAACTTATATTGTGTGTTTTAAAACTGAATCGTCACTTTTGTATCGACAAAGTGTTATGCAACAGTATCAACCAGGGCTTTAAGAGGCATTTGTATTGACAGGTGTATCATGCACCAAACTCTTTTCACGTTCCCAAATTTATAAAGTTGAGCGTTCAATGGGATTTGACCTTTTTAACCGAGGCATTTGACAAGAGAATCTGAAACGTAGAGTATCATGCACCACACTCTTTCACATTCCCAAGTTTATAAAGTTGAGCGTTCAATGGGCTTGATCTTTTTAACCGAGGCATTTGACAAGAGAATCCGAAACCTAGAGTATCATGCACCATACTCTATTTCCATTTATGGACGCTTCTAACCAAGGAAAACTTTGAGCAATCTGGGACTAGGACCAAATATCAGGCACCACACTCTGTCCAAATCAAATGCTTATTATGATCAGCTTACTATGGGGATTTAATCGAGGCATCTATATATATGTACAACCCGGGACCAAGTATCATGCACCACACTCCTTCTCGTTGCCAAGCTTAGTAAAATTAGCTTTCAATGGGGTTTCAAGTTTTGACCAAGGCATTTGAATAGGGAATCCGGGACCTCTAATAGTATCATGCACCATACTCTTTTTTATTACCTTAGTAGAATTTAGCTTTCACTGTAAATTGTTAGACAATATGGGACTAGGACCAAGCATCATGCACCACACTCTCTCACAATAAGTTTATAATGGGTTTTTTGCCGAGGCATATGGACAATTCAGGGACCAAGTATCATGCACCACACTCTTTCACAATAAGCTTATAACGTAGCCGAGGCATTTATACGGACAAATCAGGGACCAAGTATCATGCAACACACTCTTTCACATTCTAAAGTTTCCCATTTTAATTAAGGCAATCAAGTAGAGAATAAGGGACCAAAGTATCATGCACCACATTCTTTTCCCAACAATAAGCTTACACTTTAAAAACTTATAATGGGGTTTTTAGAAAAAGTCGACCAATTAGTATGGAAGACTAAAGACTGGGACGAGAGATCTGTTAGAGCAAGGGCATTAGCGTTAGTACGCCGAGTCCCACTAGTTTTTTTGGTTTAAAATAAATCAATAATCGGATTAAATCTTGTATACGTACCTAAAAACGGGACAAATTTGAGTCGTCCCGTTTGCCACGTGTCAAAGAATAATTGGAGATGAGAGTAAGAGGAGAAGAAAAAATTTCGGGGTCTCTCGTTCATTTCTCATTCTCTCTCTCTCTCTCTCTCTCTCTCTCTCTCGACTTCGTGTGCGAAACGGCGATGGACTTCGTGTGCGAAACGGCGATGTTTGTGTTCGTTGAAGTGTGGTCGTTGTCGTCTGCCGTATAGATTTAGTGTCTATTTGTATGGTATTTTGATTCGAGTCGGGTTTATATTGCACACTCTGATTTTTAAACTTGGTTTCTTGTGTGGTTGTTTGATTCAAGTTGGGGTTTTGTATTTGATTAGATTTAGTGTGTCTTTGTATGGTAGTCTAATTAAAGTTGGTTTTGTATTGTTCACTCTTGAGTAACTTCGTTTCTTGTCTGGTTGTTTGATTCAAGTTGGGGTTTTGTATTGTGCAATCTTGGTTTGCAGAAAAGGAGAATCTTTGTTCGTATGGGTTACCGAATGAAGAATGAGAAGTGAATTTACCAGCTGAAGAAGTGCCTCCTGAGCTTCCACAGCCAGCTCTTGGTATTAACTTTGCAAGAGATGGGCTCTCTGAAAAAGAATGGCTTTTTCTTATTGCCATTCACAGTGACGCTTGGTTACTTTCTGTTTCCTTTTACTTCGGCTCGAGGTTTTCTTTCCACAAGGAAGATAGGTAATGGATGACAGTTTCTCTTTCGGTCTCCTTCTCTATGTGGATAGAGTGTACACTAACTTGTTTAATTTCAGGAAGCGCTTGTTCAACATGATCAATGATGTTCCTACTATATTTGAGGTAGTGACTGGAATGGCTAAAAGCCAATCAAAGGACAAGTCATCTGCTGCAAACCAAAACGGCAGCAAATCCAAGTCCAACTCTTCTTTGTGATTTTTGTTTTACTAGTATTGGGAAGAAGGACATTGTTTATAATAGACCCTTGGTTTTGTAGTTAGATGGTTACATGGCTAGGAGGATGAAGATTAATTCTGTTGTTGGCTCGTACCTTGATCCTCTTGCAGACAAGGTATAGTCTTTTGATCTAGTATGTGTTTTGTTTTGGCTCATTATTGGATGTTCTCTGAATGTGTTTAGGGGTTAAGATTGGTTTTACGTTTCAAGCTGAAGACATGTGTGAGGTTTTATTTCATCTCAGTTTTCTTGATTATACTTATGTTTAAATTCAGGTTCTTATTGGGTGTGTCGCAGTAGCAATGGTGCAGAAGATTACATGTATTTATATCAAGAGGATTACATGTATTAATATCGTCCTGTTGATCTCCTTGGACATACCTCTTATAAAGATTACATGTATTTATATTAAGAGGAAACCTAACTAAGTTTACTAACTAATTGCTAAACTTGGCTTCGTTTGTTAGTTAATGGAGTCCTAGATTGCAATACTGCCTTTTAAACTTTAATACTAAAGCCATTTTTGGTGGATGCATGTGACATTTGTGCTCTGAAGCTGGACTGGTTGGTATTGTGGTGTTACGGGATGTTGCACTCGTCGGTGGTGCAGTTTACCTAAGGGCACTAAATTTGGACTGGAAGGTGAGTTCTTGATTTAATATATTATTAATTTAATAGAAGGACAAATAACATGAGACACCAATGCTCCTACACTCAAAATTTTAAAATGTCCTATGATCTAAATATTATAAAAAAATTTGAGGGACCAAGATTGGTATTACACCAATGCTGATGCTCTTATACACGATTCGAACCATATAGCATGCACCACCAACTGTTTTATGTTTATAGCCTAGCCAAGGCTTTATTTTTTGACCGATATGGTTCAAAACCAAGGCAATATATAGAACAATAAGGGACTCGACCAAGTATCATGCACCACACTTTCAACCCCAATCGTAAGAATGGGATATTAACCGAGGCATCTGACTAGAAATTTTGGGACCAAATATTACGCAACAACGGGACAAGGAGGGATTTTGTATTAGACGATTCAGTCCCAAATCGTATGAAGCCATCACCATTCTTTATCTTCCCGAGCCGAGGCATTTGCATACCGATTTGGGACTGAATTCGACTAACACGCACCACCACCATCTTATTTGTTAACGACCAACCCTAAATCGAAAAACAAAAAAGACAAACCCTACCGCAATTTTATAACCCAGCCAAGCCTTTATTATTCATCCGATCAGGTTTTAAACCTACCGCAATATGGGACTCGGACAAATCATCATGCACCACACTCCAACCGCAACCATAAACTTATCGTGATAAGCTTTAGAATGGGTTATAAATTAACCGAGGCATCTGATTAGAACATTATGGGACCAATTACGCAACAAGACAAGGAGGGTTTATTGTATCAACCGATTCAGTCCCAAATCGTATGAATCCATCACCATTCTTTTTCATTCCGAGCCGAGGCATTTGTACAACGATTTGGGACTGAATACGATTTAACACGCTCAACCACTTCCTTACTTTTTGTTAACGATCAACCCTAAATCGAAAACACAAAAGAGACGAACGAACCCTAACGCAATAGGTAACAAACCGGCTACGAAAAGGAAATAAAGAGAACCGCGCAGCCGGAGGATTCGTAGGTCTCTGAAGAGAAAAAGAAACAAGCTCTCTACACATCATATATATAGAGATCTGGAATGATGACCACAACCGCCTAACGGAGAAAAAGGAAAATATTTTATGGGCCTTAGGCCCAATAGATGAAGGCTCGCAGTAAAAAAAATATGTAGGTTAATTAAGGGTTTGATAGAGCCAATAAAAAAAAGTGAACCAAAAAAGGAAATAAATAAAGAGACCGTTGTTGGATTAGCTTGAAAACCAAATCCATTTCTCTTCTTTATATCTCACCTGGCTTTTTTTCTACCCACTAAATTTACCATGTTCTCTCCTGAGACATCAAGAAAAAGAAATTGTTAACGAAAAACAAACTGAAACAAAAACAACATCCAGTATAACGCTTTGTGCTATATAGAGGTGGTTAATCCTAGATAAACCAAACCGAATGCGATTTTGACCAACCAAAATGTTCATAAGAAACAAACTGAATTCGAATACGGACTAAACCAAAAACAGATGATCCGAAGTTTTTTCTTGAATATTAAATAAGGAATGTGATTTTGTTGAACTCAGTTATTTTTTTGGGGATTCTTATTTTCTTTGGATAATGTTAGCAGAGTGCGTCACAACACATGAAGTGTCAACTTGATAAAAAGATTGTACGAATGAATGAATGAATGACTATTAATCCTTTTAGGAAACGATTACTTACAAAAACAAGATTTCAAAACCATCGTCGCCCAATATGTGTCTAATCTAAAGTAGCGTGGTTGGTGCATTGTCTTTTTGATTCGACCGATTTAGGAGACCGGTCTTTTCATGAGTTTTTCTCCTGAGACATCATCCACGTAATTGTCAAATTTTGATAAAGCAGTAAGACCTTTTTTTTTTTTTTGGGTTCTCCTAGAAGAAAAGATAATAACATAAATAAAGGGGTGAGTGAGTGTGAAACCAAAAAAAAAAAACTAGGACCCCAGAATAAATGATGAACCATAACTGTAAAGCCACGTATGTACCAGTCCACGTCTGTTAGTACAGCACCCGCCGCAGATGGTGAATGATCGTTTTTTAAAAGCTCTGGTCTGGACGCTCTTTATTTCCCAACTTTATCAACTACTTTTTCTATTAAGTGTACATGTTTACATTTTTGTAGCTGCTTGCTTACTTTTATGTTTTTCCTAACATCTTTTGGTAAGTTGACTTTGCCTCTCTGGGATCTGGACGCTCTTTTTTTTCATTCTCAACGAAATTTCCTAAGTTTTATATCGGGTACCGACGTACCGTATACCTTATATAGTACTATTAGCTAGGCATGCCATCATCAAAGATTATCTTTAATTTATGTCATTCAAATAAGTTTATGAGTGGTTTAAGTCTCTTCGTATGTTTACCGCGACGCTTATTTCGATTATGTGAAGTTAACCAGTACTATAGATTAGAGAAGAGATCTTGCTTCAAATTCTCTTGTAAATAAATTTCGTTACTTGAGAGGGAGGAAGGCAAACCTCATTGATGAGATTTGACTCATATATCGTAGTTTGTATATCTCAACAAGTTTGTAGATGAGATTTCAAGTTACCAATACATTTTTGTAACAAAAGTTATTAAAAAAAATACATATGAGAATGAACTTTATAATTTTGAACATTTACATGATTAAAAATTTAAAACCAGTAATATCTTAATCAAGAAACTTTACAAATTTTAGCTTGAAGAATAATGAGTGGTGGATTTTCACAAGACCGATTAGATTATTTAGAAAGGTTAAGGGAATTTTGGAAAATAAAAGTAGGTAGGGGAGCAAACTTGCAAATTTCCTTAAAATATTACGTTGAAAATTCAACTTTATCAAAAGAGTGAGAGAGCTCAATTAAAAAAAAAGAAAAAAAAAAAGATAACAGAACGTTCCATTTTATTTTATTTTATTTTGTTTGATTCACTCTCATCATTTCGGACACCATAGAAAAGCTCTCTCGTATTCTCAATTTCAATCTCTTCTCACGACGAAATCTGTAACACCAGATACATAGTCTTTTACTTTTTGACTTCGTTTCTCTTAGTTTCTTAGGGTTCTTCTGTCGGAATATTTTTGGGTCAAAAGCTTCGAACTCGAGTGTGAATCATCAAGATGGACGGCGACGGTTCCGGCAGGCTTATCGGCTCGGAGATTCATGGATTCCATACCTTACATGGTAAGACCCCAGCTCTTTGGTTTTATTTTATTACATGTTTTCTTTTTTTTTTTTTTTGATTCGCTGGTTCTTTGGTTTATTTCAGAGTTTTCGTCCTTTCCCCCGAGCTGTGTTTTAGTTGAGGGTTGTTATATTATAAAAAGTTGTAATTTTTATGAAATAATATTGTTGGGTTTTGGAGTTTATTACACTTTGTATATTTGTAAAGATGACGTGGCCGTTTTTGTTCCTTTGCGGCCACTGGAAGTTGAATTTGTAGTTACTGTGAAATTGAGGTTCCTTTAGTTTATCTATGGATTTAGTGTATGATTCATAAGTTTGTAGTGTGGAAAATTAACAACTTTTGGCGTCTGTCGGATTTGAAAGTGGATAATTCAGAGGTTTTTCGAAGGAAGTGATGAAACTGTGTGTTATGCCTGAACAAGTTTACTTGTGTGTTGTAAGCACAAAAGCTTAGAAACATAGTATTTTTTTATATATATTTGTGATGATGGATGGATATTCATGTCGAGTTTGTTCTATCCTCTTGCTTTGAGTTTTGTGAATATATGAATATGTTCCTTTTGTTTGATGTTTCTTGACATATGTTCTGCTTGTGCCTTTTGCAGATCTTGACGTCCAGACCACTTTGGAGGAAGCAAAAGGCAGGTGGCTTCGGCCAAATGAGATCCACGCTATTCTCTCTAACCCTAAATACTTCACCATCAATGTCAAGCCGGTGAACTTACCCAATAGTAATCATTCTCTTCTATACCCAAAAGTGACCACTCAAACATTTTAGGATGTTTGTTCAAGTTTACATGACTTCTTATACTCATGTTATGTTTCATTATTTTTGCAGGTGGCAGAATTATATTGTTCGACCGTAAGATGTTGAGGAACTTCAGAAAGGATGGTCATAACTGGAAAAAGAAAAAAGACGGAAGGACAGTTAAAGAGGCTCACGAACACCTGAAAGTGAGTTTTTTTTTAGCTTGTATCATATACGGTCATATCATGAGTTCTTTCTTTCCGGCTAATTAATGTCCTTTGGATGATGCTAGGTTGGTAACGAGGAAAGGATTCACGTATACTATGCCCACGGTGAAGATAAAACTACCTTTGTTCGAAGGTGTTACTGGTTACTAGATAAGTATGTAGTAAGCAAAGATCACAGACTTGTCTACTACTTTATATATCTTTTGAGAAATGACTTGATTAGAGTCCCTTCTCTTCTATGTTTCTTCTGAAGGTGATGAAAATAAATCATCTCTTCTTTTTGTGGCAGGGCTCGAGAGAATATCGTCCTTGTACATTACCGTGATACACAGGAGGTTTGTTTTCTTTTCCACCTGTTCTCAAGTCTCACTTGGGTTTCTTATATTAGAAAGTTATGGTTGGATCAGTGTGATGTATTTCTTTGCAGTCCATATTTGGATGCTCTCTTTCTCTATTGAATAGTCACTATTTCCGATTGGTAGGCTTTATTCACAGTCCTCTATGATATTTTGATTGGTTTGAAATGGTATGTTCAGGCAGCTACTTCATCGGGAGAGTCAAACTCTAGTCCAATAGAGGTCTCCGACCAGACATTCCCAAATCTCATGACAGCTGAACATATTGATTTTAGCATTGAGAACTCACGTTATATAGGTGAGAACAATCTTTTACGTGATATCGGTTTTTCACAGTTTTTCTAGGTAGCGTTGCCACTATGGATTTGCTGTTTGCAAACTATAAATGTGTTCTCTGGTCTCTTCATATGGATACTTATCACACTATCTTTTGGTGGCTCACAGCAAGCAACAACAGTCCAGTTGTTAGAAATCATGAAATTAGCCTTCACGATATCAATACACTCGATTGGGATGAGCTGCTAATACCAACCGATCTTCACAACCAATCTGCACCAACCGAAGGTAACTTACAGTTTGTGCAGTTAGAGAAAAAATGGGATGTTGTTGAAAATACATACTCTTTCTTTTTTTCTGTGATCAGATGATCTGTCATACTACACAGAACCGCTCCAAAATGCTGCAAACGGCTCTGCAGCGCCTGTGAATGTGACAGTAGGTGATGAATCTCTTGATGCTTTGCTTAACAATGGTCCACAAAGTCGAGAGAGCTTTGGAAGGTGGATGAATTCATTTATCGGCGAATCTAATGGCTCGCTGGAGGATTCTTCCTTTCAACCCATGGTTACGCTTGAGCAGGACCCATTAGCTCCTCAAGCTTTATTTCATCCTCACTCCAACATACCTGAGCAAGTGTTTAACATAACTGATGTTTCACCTGCTTGGGCATATTCTTCAGAGAAAACAAAGGTAATAAGATATCGATCTAGCGACAGTATGTGCTATCATATGAATAAAAATAATAGGTATTAGTTGAAATGGAGCGCATAACTTTCTTACATACTGATTGTGCAGATTCTTGTAACTGGGTTCTTGCACGACAGTTATCAACATCTTGAAAGATCAAACATCTTCTGCATTTGTGGTGACTCGTGTGTCCCTGCAGAATATCTCCAACCGGGAGTATACCGTTGCATCATACCTCCACACTCGCCTGGGATGGTAAACCTCTATCTTAGTGTAGACGGCAACAAACCAATCAGCCAATGTTTCAGGTTTGAACACCGTTCAGTCTCAGTTCTTGATAAAACCATCCCTGAAGACAATCAAGAATCCAAATGGGAAGAATTTGAGTTCCAAGTCAGACTTTCTCATCTTCTATTTACGTCTTCCAACAAACTCAACGTTCTTTCCAGCAAAATCTCACCTCCAAACCTGCGAGATGCCAAAAAACTCGCTAGCAAAACATCCCATCTCTTAAACAGTTGGGCTTATCTAATCAAGTCCATTCAGGGGAATAAGGTGTCATTTGATCAAGCGAAAGATAATCTCTTCGAGCTAACTTTGAAGAACAGGCTTAAGGAATGGCTTGTGGAGAAAGTGCTTGAAGGTCGCAACACACTGGATTATGACTCTAAAGGCCTCGGTGTGATCCACCTCTGTGCCATTCTTGGATACACTTGGTCAATCCAGCTGTTCTCGTTATCAGGTTTATCGTTGAATTTCCGTGATAAACAAGGATGGACAGCTCTTCATTGGGCAGCATACTATGGAAGGTAAGATCTATCTCTTTCAAAGCTATATATACTCTGTTGTAAGCTACTTTTTACTATATACAGTTTTTTTTTGGGTTTTGAAGGGAGAAAATGGTGGCTGCTCTTCTCTCTGCTGGGGCGAGACCGAACCTGGTGACAGACCCGACGAAGGATAATCTTGGCGGATGCATGGCAGCTGATTTGGCAGAGCAAAATGGATATGACGGCCTAGCTGCATATCTTGCTGAGAAATGTTTGGTTGCTCAGTTTAGAGACATGAAAATTGCTGGAAACATCAGTGGCAATCTGGAGACTTGCAAAGCGGAGATGCTGAACCAAGGCACTCTCCCGGAGGATGAGCAGAGTCTCAAGGATGCTCTGGCAGCATACAGAACAGCTGCAGAAGCAGCGGCTCGAATTCAGGGTGCATTTAGGGAAAAGGCGCTGAAGGCAGCACGGTCAAGTGTGATTCAGTTTGCTAACAAAGAAGAAGAGGCTAAGAGCATAATTGCAGCAATGAAGATTCAGAATGCATTCCGTAAATATGATACGCGTAGGAAGATAGAAGCCGCTTACCGGATTCAGTGCAGGTTCCAAACTTGGAAAATGAGAAAAGAGTATCTAAATATGCGGCGTCAAGCAATTAGGATCCAGGTATGAAGTGAACAGTTAATCCTGTGAACGAGAACCAAAGCAAGATTCAGCAGCCAGGATTATAAGTTTACTCTGAACTTGGCTGTTCATAATCATCACTTTTGTCTAAATTCCGCAACCTATAAGACAGTGATAGTCCACACCTTTATCATAACATTTGTCTGAGTTTTCTAACACACACAAGTGTATTTCCTCTAATTTTGCAGGCTGCTTTTAGGGGATTACAAGCACGGAGGCAGTACAAGAAGATCGTATGGTCGGTAGGAGTGTTGGAAAAGGCAGTTTTGAGGTGGAGACAAAAGAGAAAAGGGTTTAGAGGACTCCAGGTTGCAGCAAAGGAGGATTCTCCAGGTGAGGCAGAAGATTTCTACAAGACGAGCCAGAGGCAAGCAGAGGAGAGGCTCGAGAGATCTGTAGTGCGAGTCCAAGCCATGTTCAGGTCTAAGAAGGCTCAACAGGATTACAGGAGGATGAAACTCACGCATGAAGAAGCTCAGGTGAAATCTATATTGTATTTTGTTTTCTTACATTTTATAATCTCAATTTAGTGGAAAAAACACAAAACGGAGAGATAAATTCGTACATGAAGTAACGAATCTTGTTGATGATTTGATGCAGTTGGAGTACGATTGCCTGGAAGACATTTGATATTGAAATGGCTATGGAGAGGTGAGTCAAAAGTGTTGAACATGGATTGTATTGATCTGTAAATTATGTGAATGGAAACTAATAAAGTATTCATAACGAGACCAATCTTTGTTGTTGATTGGTGGGTGCATTAAAAAAGCCAAAAAGAAGAAGACAGAATTAACAAATAGATATATCTGTCTACTTCTCTGATGGTTATTTTGGGACTCTGGTGTAATCTACACGTATATTTGTAGAATAAAATTGCAGGTATCCACAGAAAATCTTATGGAACATTTGTAGTCTTAAACTCGGTTCCTATGCCACCTGATGGAAATAATGGCCAGAAAAGTGTTTTTAGTAGTAAAAAGAGAAGAATCATCCAAAAGTGATTACTCACTTCAAAAACAAACATACAAAAATCAAAAGCACAATCTCAGGCTCTACTAATCGAAACCATGAAACAATTAAACAAATATACGTGAAAGAAGAGACAAGACTTCAACATATATATTCTCAAAGAAAGAAGAAGGCCTTGTTGATATATCTTTTTTGTCTTCACTAAGTGAAGGTTCTTTCTCATCATCTCCTCTTCTGTTTCTTCTTCTTAGATCCTCTTGGTTTGCGTTTAGCTTTATCTTTGCATCTCCCTAAAGTACAACCACAAATTTTCTTTCTTCAAGATGTTTCCTCCCCCAATAAGTTTTTGGTTTTTTATTATACAGCCACTTTATCACTTACTGTCCTTGTCGTAGCATGACTTTCAACCTGAAAATTGAACTTAAAGTGTAAGATTCTTTTTGCTTTTTAGTAGAGGATTTAAATCTGTTGGTTGCAGTTAAAAATAAAGGGGTTCGCTGGCCAATGGCATGAGTGTCTGTGTATGTATGTGTTTGTAGACTGTTTTGCTTTACCTTGGCTGCTTTGAACAGTTCGTCAAGGACCTCAGACAGTGTTGGATGTGCATGAACTGCCAATTTTATGTCCTGCAGAGATACCAGTAACCATGCAGGATCAAGAAATAGATGTAATCAATGTGTTTAGTAATTTCAACAGCTATGGTACTATGTATATAGCACGATTTCCCGGTAGGAAATTATCAACATCAAAGGCTAAGTGCTAAATCCAATATGAATCAGGGAAATAAGCAGCTAGAGTATAAAAAAAAGCATACCTGAATGCGTGTTCCTAGAGCTATCGCATTGGAAGCTTCATGGATAAGGTCAGCTGCATGCAGTCCAAATATATGAACTCCTAGGATTTCCCCATTGTCAGGTCGGTATATCATCTGCATAATCAAAGCAGTGAGATCTCTTTTGCCTTTCATAAACCTTAAATACTCAACAACTTTTGCTTCTCCCACCTTTGCTATTCCTTCTCCTTCATTTTCAGCTAGGGCCTTTGTGTTAGCCTTGAAACTTGTCTTGGCAACACTAACTTTAAATCCTTCTTTCTCACCTTTCTCTTTCGCTTGAGGCTGACAAATCAAGGGAATACTGTCAAAACCTAAGGAGTTACAGTAAGCATAATTTGCTCATAACATTTTTCTTTTTGACCTTCTTCAGTACAAAAAGCACTACGTGCACTAGGATATAGAATTACCTCTGTCAATCCCACCATGCTGATTTCAGGATGAGTAAAGCAGGCAGCTGGGATGCTAAGATGATTAAGCACATGATCTCTGCCGCTGACTTGCTCGACCACTAGCCACAGAGTTAAATACAAGTCCATTAAGAAAAATGGGAAAATATTTACTGCGTTATTAGTAGCCTGCCTAGTGATAAGCCATTTACCAGATATTCCTTGGGCACTAGCTGCATGTGCAAGCATCAATTTACCATTGGCATCACCAATGCAGTACAAGTTGGGAACCTATCAAGTAAAAAAAAAAAATTAGAATGTAAAAAGAATCGCTGATAAGGAAAAGGTATATACATGCAACTAAAACTGACCAGAGTCCCGTTTCCATCGATCACACGCATTCGCTCATCAACTGGTATGAAACCTCTCTGCGTCACAACATTGACCTGCGTTGAGATTACAACTTCAAAGTTAATTTTCTGACTGACCAAATATTCTCTGGTAACCAAGATGACAATACAAGAGGATGGAGTTTAGTATCATCTCATACATTTTCCAAGCCAAGTCCATTGGTGAATGGAGCTCTTCCAGTAGCAATAAGAGCAGCATCTACCTGGCGAAGGAAAACAAACTCACACTTTAAGCACAGAACATCACATAGTAAAATGAAATAAAACCAAAAGACATGACTATATTTTTCTTTTTTGGGAGGAAAAGGCCACAATATATTCAGAAAATGAGAAGCGTTTCTTATCCATTTATGTCATCATGTGTATACTATATTTCTGTGGGAAGAGTAACAATCTGGTTAATACTGCAGGCAATAGAAAAATAAGTGAAAACAAGACTTTTAAGGATCCACTACCAACGGCACATATCTTCCCAATTCAGGCATGAATACTAATTACTAAGTAACTGTTAAATATTCTCTTTGTGAGACATCAAATCTCCCTATCATCTATATGACATTTGGTTACCTCCAAAGTATCCTTAGGTTCCTTGGTTTTCGCATCAATAAGCTCAATCAAAACTGGTTTCCCATCCTTTGCCGGAGTAATCTGAATAAGAGTAGATTCAAGTTTAACAGATGAACACATGGACACACTTTGTAATCTGTATTTGTAATGCATTACTTAAACAGACTCACTTTGCTTGCAAAGACTCCAGTATGATAGTCAATCTTTCTTGGATTTATCAAAACCCTCTGAGCTAGCTTACTGATCTCAGGATCAAATCCAGGCATTAGCTGATCCAATGCTTCAATAAAAGTTACCTGCACAAAAGGTTCCCGTTTTCGATCACTAATTATAGAGATGGAGCAAACCTAATGAGTAATGAATCATAACTTGGAAGCGGCAAATATTCAATTAGTAGACTTGGTAGCTTAAAACCTATTTTACTACTATATACACAACAGCAAGCTCAATACAGTAAGAAACCAAACAAAGACTAGAAAATTGGAGATCATTGCTAAGTTACAGTTATGACAATCTCAACTACGAAACACAATATGACAAAGTCATACTAAAGTAATATCATTAGTACATAAACATCATGCTACCTCGCTTCCAAGTGCTGTGTAAACATCACTGAACTCAAGACCAATATAACCACTTCCGACAATTGCAATCCAATCAGGGACAGACTCCAATTTCAAGGCATGGTCACTGGTGATAACAGTCTTTCCTACAGAACCAAAATATAAACATTCAAGGAATCAAGTCTGATTGTTTTTTGCACCCAAAAGAATGGAGAATAACTTTTTTTTTCAGGCTTCTCCCTTAACAAGTCTACATCCAAAACAAGAAACGTACCATCAACTTCAATTCCTTTAGGAACAAACGGCACAGACCCAGTGGCAATGATGATATCCTTTGCAGTAATAATATTGTCCTTCCCATATTTAACCTTTTGTGGTCCCTGCAGAAGAATTACAAAAATTAAAGAGTTAGGATCAATGTATCATGTTCCTGTTCCTGTTAGTCAACGTGAGAGAAAAACACGTACTGACCAGAACACTGCCAAATCCTGTCAATATGTCAACACCAAGTGCCTTCATTGAATTGGTGAGATTGTTTCGAATTTTGGTAGCCAGGTTATTAGCATGGTCAGCCACACCCTGACGATCATATCCAGCAGCTGAAACCTATTTTCCAAGGGTAAAACCAAAAAAAAAAACATAATACAGTGAAAGGCCAGAAGGAGTAAATTCAACACTAACGATCATTGGCATCAAACATGATCCATCTACAGCCAAGCAACTTTATATCAGAGAACATGAGTTACCTGGAGACCAAAGGACTTCATGTGATGTTCGTTCTGAAGTTCCCGCATTCTACCACTAACAGCAAGAAGAGCTTTAGAAGGCACACATCCTCTGTTAACACAAGTCCCTCCAACAACATCTCCTTCAATGATGGCAGTTTTAAGTCCCTAATGAAGCCAATGTTTCCGTAAATTTCAAAAGAAATCATAACAAATCGTAAAAGAAAACACCTTTGCTACACATCCCCATCATCCCATTGAGTCATAAGAAAGAGCAAATCTTTTCTTTCAAAATGAAATCAAAATATTCACAAATCATCATGGTATAGCAACTCACAGGATACTTAAAGTATTAGCCTTTTTAGTTGTTTTCGTAATAATAAATTACAAACCTTCTCAACAGCATGCAAAGCAGCTCCGTGGCCGCCAACTCCAGCTCCGATGATGATCAAATCGTAATCGAAAGATTTGGGAGGAGCACCATTACCATTACCATTACTCGAAGCAGAAGCGGAGACTTGGAATCCACTACTCTGAGTTCGGATTCGGTCACTGCGCAAAGCCAACTGATTCGACGGAGAGAAACCAAACGCTTCCCGGCGGAGTCCGCAGAACCGGAGACTCTTAGGCGTAGAGAAAACGGAAGCAGTTGATCCGAGCACGTGGTTCGGTCTTGTAAACGACGTCTGGGAAAACGAAAGCGCCATAGCTGATTGCATTGTAAGAGAGACACAGAGATCTTACAGAGGAAAGGAGCAAGACACAGATGACAAATTAACCGGTCGGAGACAGTGAGTGAGTGCGTAAATTAGCCCAACAACGAAGGCGGAGATTTCAAAGCGCCTTTTTGGTTTGTTTGTTTAACCACTTTTGTTTTACACGTGGCATTTACGACTTTGCTTATAGTAGTTTTCCTTTTTTACCAAACCTGATTTAAGTCTAAGGCCCATTGGGTCAATATTAACCTCGTACCCTTTCTTTTTTTCAGCCCATTGGGTCTTCTTAGAGTATTTTCTTCTGTTTTTACACGTGTAAACTTAAATGCTAAGTTGCAAACCTTGCAGAAATAAAAAGTAACTCTTTATTTTTATTTTTTTCAAATAATAATAACTTAGATACACCAAATCAAAGGCATTTAATTTATTGTTTAATACAGAGGTTAAGATATAGCAAAGGATTAATTGTTTCCAAACGATTGAGAATCCCAAGGAGGACAGTGACTAAACGTTCCAGTCTTTTTCATAAGTTGACAAGGTCCTTCTGGGCTTACCTTCCATTCACATCTTTTGCAAGCAAACGGCCCAGCAGGTTCTTGGTCTCTACTTTGCTTGTAGATACGAAAATAATGGAACTCGAGTCTCCAGGAAAAAAGGCAAGCGTATATAGTATTTCCAGAATCACTGGGTTTGAATTCGAATGACCACGATCCACCTGGTAACATGGTGTGGACTCCGAGATCAACTTTATATGATTGACAATGGAACACCATCGGAACTGAACCTCCGTTAGATATCACCACTGTTGTATTCGGGTTTCCAATACTTGTCGGAGCCATGGCGTTTTCAGCGACGGTCATTGTTACACTTGTACACATAACTATGGTTATGAATGCTACAAGTTCCTTTAGAGAACCCATCTTGTTGTTTTTTTATTTTTCTTGTTTGCAATGTGATAGTATTGGTGTGTCTTTTTGGATGACTATTTCGCTCAATACTTGTGTGTGTATTTATAATACCAGATTTTCTTTTTCTTTTTTTTTTTTTTCTTTTTTTTCCAGATTTTGTTTTTTTTTTCGGTAATGATACCAGATTTTGTTGTTGACTTATCTAGTGTTTATAATGTTTCCTTTTTCAATGCAATTTAGTGTTTTGAACAATTTTAGTCAAAGTCTTACCAAAAAAAAAAAAACAATTTTAGTCAAGTATAATTTCTGTATAAAAGGAAATATCATTATGGTTGATATAATAAAGCTAATTTCTGATATCAACTATGATTTATGTTGACATGTTTTATAATAATATGAAATATATTTGATTTGACGGAAAAAAATAAAATATATATGATGTCGTCAATTTAAAAGTATATAGTAAAGAAAATCTCATCACGGCAAGTGTTTTCATCATATGTAAATACGAAATACTTGTATTAATTGATTATTATAGAATTATAGAAGTAGAAATATGTATATAGAGATGTTGTTGTTAATTGTTATCAGGAGAATTCCAAGGAAGACAAACATCAAACATTTTAGTCTTTTTGTTAAATTTGCAAGGTCCATTTTTGTATATCTTCCATTGGCATTTCCTACATCCAAACTTGGCGAATTCTCTGTCTCTGTTCTGTTTGTAGATATCAAAATAATGCAACTCCTGTTCCCATCTAAAACTGCAAAAGAACAAAGTGTTCCCAAAAATACTTGGTCTGAATTTAAACGACCACGTTCCATTTGGTGGCATGGTCCAGTCTCCAAGATCATCGTCTCTTGATTTGCAATGATATCTCAGCGGCAAAGGACCTTCAAGATCATTATGTATCATTACTGTCGTTCTTGGGTTGTCGAAACCTGATGGCTTTGGAGCCATAGCATGTTGAGCGCCACGTATTATTATTACATTCACACACATAGTCATGATCAAGAGAGCCATAAGTTCTAGTAGAGAACCCATTAATTGTCTCTCTGTCTTTTTTTTCGTTTTTTTTTTGGTATTCGCTTGCAATATGAAAAGTATTGTATATATATATGGATGACTCTTACACTCAATATTTACAATAAATACTTACTACCAGTTTTATTATATTCCCTAAACAATTTTTTTGTATGTAGTCAAATGAAACTTGTATAAAAAAGGAAATGTTATCATGGTAGATGTGTAAATAGTTATCTTCCATAATACAATGTAGTCAAATTTAATATTCTGTATAAATTATAGTTCTCTCATATCAATAAAGCCTCAATAGGTCAGGCCCAATAAGCCCAAGCGAAACAACCGTCCGAAGATATCACTACCAAAGTACTCTCAACTCTGTTATATGAGAGAACGACGATCTCATCTTCCTAAACGAGCCCGCCAGATTTTTTCTTTGAGACTCTTGTGATTCAGCTCTCAAACCTAAATTCTCTCAGCTGATTCAGCGAAGATGAGTACTATGAAATTTTGCCGCGAATGGTAACAAGCACTCGAGTCCTCAATCTCTCTTATAGTTTTCTTAGAGAATTGCACCTCATTTCGTCTAGGTTTTTTCTTTTCAAAGTTTCAAACTTTTTGCATGAATTTTTTATTTTTTGTTGTGATGTTTTTCTTCATCTGTGGAACCATCCATGGTTGATTTCACCTGGGATAATGTGTTAATTTCGCTTAAAGCTCTTACCTTTTTTTCGAATTTTGTTAATGGGTCGTCCTTGATTTGATTGGTTTGTTGTTTCTGTTTGATTTTTTTTGGGTTCAGTAATAACATTCTGTATCCTAAGGAGGACAAGGAGCAGAAGATTCTCCTCTACGCTTGCCGTAATTGCGATCACCAGGTATAGAAAAGCTTTTGGTCATTTTTGTGTGGACAAATTTAGGGTTTGTTAGCATTCAATGTAGTGCTATGACTTAGTTTAGCATTCAATTTCGAGTCTTTAATGAAGCTATCTCCTGCTTTGCTCTCTTTTAATGCTCCTAGTTTCTTCCAATTAGAATTCCTTAGTTTCACCTCCAACGTCTCTACTCCTTTAATCAAGGCTTATCCAGCAAGTTCGTTCTTGTGGTTTTACCTTTTTTAGTTATTGTGTTCATGAGATCAAGGGCCTAATTCTTAGCTTATGGAAAATATTGGTTACACAAACTGAGTGTAGTTCTTGACATTTATCAAAGCTGCATTGTCATCTTGTTGTTACAAATTGGATCATGTAAGTGTCGTCATCATCAGAATTCATGCTTTTTGGGGGCACTGACTTGCAGGAAGTAGCTGATAACAGCTGTGTGTACAGAAACGAGGTTCATCACTCTGTAAGTGAACGAACTCAGATCCTAACGGATGTGGCTTCTGACCCTACTCTTCCCCGAACCAAGGCTGTGCGTTGTGCCAAGTGTCAGCATAGGGAGGCTGTCTTCTTCCAGGTATAACTATCTTAAGATCCATCATCTATTGGTTATGCTACATCTTCACTGGTTGTTCCTAAACGTATTCTCAACTTTTGTATCCTGCCCGAGGATTTAATGAAGTTATCGTTGAATGTGCAGGCTACGGCTCGAGGTGAAGAAGGAATGACATTGTTCTTTGTCTGCTGCAACCCGAATTGTGGTCATCGCTGGAGAGAATAGATAGATTTTCTAGTTTCAATCATCACCTATGTTTTGATGAGTTCTCAGCACAATGATGTTGATGTAGTTATCAGTAAGTGTTAAGATGTGGAATGATGTGAACAACCTTCTGCCCCAGTCAGAGACAAATCCGTATTAGGAGCTATTTAGTCAGTGTTATGGCATCATTATCTCAACTTGTGTATCACCCATACATAAAAAACTGAAACTTGTTTCTCTCTTAACTGAAAGCAAACGAGAAAAGAAAAAAAAAAACTGAACCCAAACATTTGCTACTATCCTCCACGGCTCATCTCCCAGAACGCGACCTCGTGTTCAAGAACACGTACAAGCACATCTTCAGCTTCGGCCAAAGCTTCGTCGGAGGCATTCTCCAGGCAACGCTCGGCGATGTTCTTGACAGACGAACAATACTGTTTAAACCCGTCATTGCCCCACCGATGACAAGCTCCGGTAAGCTCCACCGGAGTTTTGTTCCCGTCCTCTAAACAATGAGCAAAGCTCTCTTGATACACTGCTTCGATTGCCCAGAAAGCTGTCATAATCACTGAATACTTCACCTCACTACTCATCAGAGCTTCCAGAAACCTTGAATAAACAAGAGATTAGAAACTACTGGTGTCTCATTTCAAATTCGAGTTTGAGTCTATTTTGTAAACAGAAATATATATAGAAATCAATACCTGCGATATTCTTCATTAGCTTTTTGGGGCACAACGGTCGAGAAATCAACATCCCATTTCGACCCTTCTCTTTTAAACCATTCGATTTCATCGTTCAGCGACGCCATACCACCAAGCACCACTTCCATATCGGAACTCTCGCCGGATTCTTTGCCGGCTCTGATCAATACACTCGCTACGAACGGCACGAATTCTCTCACGAACAGATAGTCTTGTCCCTGGAACTCAAAAAAGTTTCAAATTCACAGATTTTTGCTTTGTTTTTCATCAGTAAGCTACTAACTATAACAGTACCAGCCAAGTTCTGAAGGACGAGAGATCAACGGATCCGTCGCGGATCGAGACGACGAAGGCATGACGTGTAGCCGCCGTGTAAACCGAACGGTGCTTATCAAGCCACGTGTCGATCGCCTCTCTCTTCTCCATTGCAATTGCTTCTTCTTGCTTCTTTCAAGATTCTTCATTCACCGATTCATATTTGTCAACGTCAACCTTTTGACTTTTATCGTATAGTCTGTAACGTGCGCGTTTTATTGGGCTTTAAATTAATGGCCCAAGGCCTATTAAAGTCTTGCGACGATGGTTAAATGATTCTTCTAAATCGACGGCGTGTAAAGGTCCCTCGTAGATTACGTGGGAAATTATGAACGGTTAAGATGCGTGTGATTGCTAAGTTTACTATTCAGCAATGGTCACGTCACGTATCCATAGTTAAAGAGTGTGACGTGGATAATATTTTTCTAATTATATTTTCTGTTTTGTATATCTCAGCGTAATCACCTCCCCGAAGTTGTGTGTGAAATTTTATTATTTTCCTGTTAGACGGAGAATTTGCTTTTCCGGCAAGATCTGTTGGGAATAAGAAGATGGCGGATGAGAAGTATAACCGGAAAAATCCGGCGGTGAAGAGGATTCTGCAGGAGGTTAAGGAGATGCAAGCAAATCCTTCTGATGATTTTATGTCTCTTCCTCTTGAGGTAACATTTTCGATACTCACCTGATCTCCGGTTTAAGCTTTTGAGATCGGAGATTTTGATTGAATTTAAATTCTTATTCTGGAGAGAGAGAGAAAGTCCCCTCTCTTCTTTCAGTCTCCGTTGTGTGTCTTCTTCTATTCGGGATTGAACATCTGCTCTACCTGTTCTGTAGCTAGAATTAACTTCTATGTCTTGTTAATGTTCCGGTTTCGTATTTCGATTTCTGTTTCTATAGATCTAAGTATGGTGTTTCATGCTGTGTTGATTCGTATAATTGTGTATCTGTCAAGAGTGATGGTGTTTGATTTAGGCGACCATGATCAGGGAAGATTAAATATTGATATCCTCATGTGTTTTCACTGAATTTACTAAGTCTCTTGTATTGGGTATTCGTGTTCTACTGCAGCTTTCATGCCAGTTCTTTTGTTTCACAATCCCTTAGATTCTTACAACTGTTGGAGGTTGTCCGACATGGAATGGTCGAAATAGATTCCGCGCAATGTTATAATTGTCTTTACAAGTTTTTATTGTGATACCAAATCGTTTAAAATGATTCCTCTATCTGTCGTAACATCAGGAGAATATATTCGAATGGCAATTTGCCATCCGTGGTCCTGGTGATACTGAATTTGAAGGGGGCATTTATCATGGAAGAATTCAGCTGCCTGCAGATTACCCTTTCAAACCTCCTTCATTCATGTTATTGACTGTAAGGATCTTACTCTTCTTTCACAACACATATTGCAAGGGAAAAGGGAGAGTCTTTATTTCTTGAATCTCTCTACTTCTGTTTCAGCCTAATGGTCGGTTTGAAACCAATACCAAGATTTGCTTGAGCATTTCAAATTACCACCCCGAGCATTGGCAACCTTCTTGGAGTGGTAAGCTCATGAAAGTTTATATATTATTTCATTGATCCTTACACCAGCAACATGTCACTAGAGACCTTATTTCTTAACTGTTACTTCTTTTTTAGTACAAGACCACGTAACACTTGTAATTTACACGAGGTTGAACTATATATCATATCTTTGCTCTTATAATTTAGCTTTTCATCTTTGCAGTTCGGACTGCTTTGGTGGCTCTCATTGCTTTCATGCCCACAAGTCCCAATGGAGCACTGGGCTCGGTAGATTATCCAAAGGAGGAGAGGCGTACACTAGCCATCAAATCACGTGAGGCACCACCCAAGTATGGCTCTCCTGAACGGCAAAAAATTATTGATGAGGTATAGTTACTCAGTCCCCATTGAAACACCCTTAAGTGTTTTGTTTATGCATATTCTGGTTAAATTAATATGAATTTGGCTATATGTTTGTAGAACCTGTCGAATTTGGCTATATTTCGCCATTGTAAACCTTAGAAATAGCTGTTGGTAAAAATTTAAGCTTGCATATTCTAGCGATTAAGGTCTAGTGTTTGCTCAAAGAGTATCTATCTGCTTACATTTTACAGCATCACAGCTGCTATTGTCTGCATACAATAAAATTTGCTGCTAAACTACTTTATTAAAGGAGTAGCACCATTTTACCGATTACTATCCTTTTTAGACAAAGGGTTAGCGATCTCCTTTTGGTTTAAACTCTTGACCCTTTCTTCATGTATTTTGTTTGATATGACTTAAGTTTCCTTTGTATGATTCATCTTCAGTTTTAGAAAACAACTTAACTAATCATGTTCGTTTAATAAGCGCAGATTCATCACTACATCCTTGACAAAGCAACCGCGGTTCACAAAGCTGTTCCTCTGGAATGTAACCAAACACAGTCGACTGAATCAGTAGCTCAGTCCCAAACTGAGCCACAGGAAGCCATAACAGTAGTGGAGGAGCGGTCCATCTCTACAACAGACGCTATAGTTGATGATCAAATCATAGAAGAGACAACTGAAGCAGTCAATGCAGCTGCAGCAGCTAATGTGGTCCCTGCAGCATCAACAGCGGTTGAAGTTGAAGATAAAGTTTCTGTAAGTGGTGAGCAAACAACGATGGCCAGAAGAGCGGCTCAGAAGCCAGTCGATGACAGACTTTTCACGTGGGCGGCGGTTGGGCTCACAATCGCAATCGTGGTTCTTCTCCTTAAGAAGTTCATAAGATCAAGTGGTTATGGTGCTGGGTTTATGGATCAGTCTTGAAGTCTAATGAATATCGTCGATCCTAAAGGTTAAAAGTCAAAGTTGATCGATGGATGGAAAACATGAAAAGTCAATCCTGCTTATGGGAAAAGGGGGTTGTGGTGTTTAATGTATAAATATGATTAAAGTGCATAACATTATTGGGTAAATAATTATGTGTGAAATTGTCTTGCAGTTTAGTTGATAGATTCGATTATCACACTTGTGACAACAAAGTTAACAACAATATGTGTTTTGGATTTGGATACTGACTATTTTTTTTATTAATACAGCAAGCTTTTTATTATTGAAATCAGATTATTTAATGTGTTCATAACTATTTATAGTGTTTGAAATCGAACAATTTATGATGTAATGTATTCAGTCTATTTGTGTTTGTCTTCCTTTATTTTTTTTTTGAACAATACTGTAATATGGTGTGATTCAGATTCACAATGTGTGATCTCATCGTGTACCTTAGTTTTCACTTTTCTGTTTAGAAAAAAGACTTTCAACTTTTGACCTTTGACTGTTATAAATGTTTATTAAAAAAAAAAAGTTATTAAACCAAGGCTCAAATGTAATGAATGTAGTTGATAGTAATAATACTAAAAATAAATTATGTTTATGAAAATTTGATATTATGGGTACTGTGACAGTACTACTGTGGCAAAACAAGACACAAAAGAAGCAAGTTTAAAGTCTACGTCCTTTCCCCCCAGAGATGATCAGGTACTAAAACTAGCAAAGACACTCTGCTTTTGCGTGTCTGTGAAGCCAGTTCTTACTTGTCTCTTCTTTCTATAACCATTTTAAAAAAATATATAACATAAACAAACAATCACTTGGGCAATACATGAATGCTTTTTCACAATTAAAAACTCTGTTTGAATAAATGAAAACAATGCAAAATAGACATGGATACTCATCACTTTAACCACTTCTAATGTTTGAGAGCGAGAGATAGAAGAAAGTGAGTGAGAGAAAGAGAAAGAGAGAGAGAGAGTGAGAGAGAAAGAAATAGAAAGTGAAGAGGTTTTTGAGTGAGATAGAAGAAGAAGCTTTTCAAGGAGAGATGGGTTGGAACACTGGTTTTGAACGGATTAAACAAGAACGCAAGGACTTGGGTTTCTTCAAGATTTTTCAGAGTGCAGATTTGTCCTCTGAGAGCATGGTAACTTTGTCCTGAAAACCTCATACCATGCTCTAAAATGAGTAACTTTGTTCTTGATAGGAATCTTTTTGTTCGTTTTCTTAGGTTTTTTTTCTTCTTTGCTTCAAAAGGTTGAATCTGTTTATTCTCTAGATCTCTACATTTTCTGTGTTTGAAACGTTAAATCTGTTGGTTCTTTGGTGTTTAATGGACCACGACTGTTGAATCTTTGGGTTCAGTGTTTGAAAACTTAAATCTTGTTTTAAAGTAGTGAGATCTTTTTGGGTTCTCTTGGTTTGAAAGGTTGGATCTGTTTAGTCTCTGAATATTTACGTTCTTTTTGTTTTTAAAACGTTGAATCTGTTGTTTAGTGGGTCTCGACGTTCTATCTTTAGGCTCACTGTGCTTGAATCTTGTTATCTTTTGGTCGTCTTTGTTTCATGAAAAGTTGAATCTTTCTACTGCTTTACGTTAAAGAAGTTTCTTTTGTTTCACCTCTGCTCTCAAAAATATGAAAGTTGTTGCTCCTCTGTCTGTATGCTCAGATCTATCTTCTTTGCTTTTCTCGACTTCTTGATGCAAATTTTGTTTTGTGATAAGACTGAAAGAGTGAAACTTTGGCTTTAAATTGTTTATGTAATTTGACAAGTAAAAGTGTAAATGTTTTTAACACTCAGTCATTTGTATGGTGAAAACAGAGAGCGTTTCCATACAACTTCATGAGCAGGATCCCTGAGAAAGACTTATCTTACAAGATGGTGATAAGAGCGCAATGGGGAAAGTCTTGGGATGTAGAAGTCTCCAAGAATACGAGATATTACTACATCGAGAAGCCTGGATGGGATCAGTTTGTGAGTGACAACGCTTTGGGAAGAAACGAGTTTGTCACTTTCATTCACAAAGGGAAGATGATCTTTAATGTCTACATCTACGAGCAGAATTGCATGGAGATCCTAATACCTCGAATACTCATGCCTATGGATTGTTCTGGTAAGCTTTTGTGATTGTAATGCTTTATAAAACAGAGAAGTTGAATAATAAGAAGAAGAAGACTAAATCTTTTACTTTGATGATGAAAACAGGTGGGATCAAGAGAGAAGAAGAAGAGTGCAGCTACAAAGATGTGAAGAAAGAATATGAGGAAACAGATGAATCTCCTGAACGAGTTGAGATCAAAATTAGAAAGAAGATATCTGAAGAGAGCAAAACATCTAAGAAGAAGAAGACGAGCAAGAGAGTGAAGAATGGTATGGAAAGAGGTGGATCTTCGAGAGGGGTTGAGCTCAAAGCTAGGCAGAAGAAAGCTGAGGCTTACAATACATCAAAGAAGATGAAGAAGAAGATCAAGAGAAATAAGAAAATGACTGGTGCTCCAGAATTCAAAATCACCATAAGGAATTCATACCTCAAGTTCCTGGTAAGAGTTCAAAACAAAGACTTGACAGAACAATATACACACAGTTTCTGTATTTGATGTGAATCTCTGATTTTCTTTTTTCAGGCAATCCCAAAACATTTTGTGGATGATCATCTTCCGCAGAAGTCTAAGTTCTTCACTATTCACCACCCGGATGGTCTCAAGTCATGGAAGGTGCTTTGTTTGGTGAGGGAGATTCGGACAATCTTCTCAGGTGGATACTCGAAACTGGCAAGGGAGTATCCTTTATTGGTTGGTGACAAATGCACCTTCAAGCTTATTGAACCCTATGCGTTTATCCTAGATATCTCCAAGAAAACTAGAGAGGAGATCACTCACTGCATGATCGATTGAGACGGATGAATGTCAAGTGTCTCATTGCTTTCTTATCTATGGAGACAGTTAGATCAGTTTATGTCTTTATGACGGTTAAGTTATTGTGTTCTGGTTTGTATGCTTATTACATTTTCTGGTTGAATTACAATGTGATAAATTCGTCTTAGGACTATATATTATGCAAATCTATCAATCTTATGCTTCAGTCGTTTCCTTCAGCAGAGACAAGTGTTCGTCCTTAACTTGTAAACTAATGTTGTCACTGATCAAGTGTGCTTCCTCTTCTCTTATATCTGATTGAATTATAATGATAAAAACACATTTGGCATGATTGAAGTTGGTTCAAAACTCAAAAGAGTCTGTCTGTATTTATTAGAAGATGAAAGCGTTTTTTTACCCATACAGATGAACATTACACCGGTCACACACAAGAGTTATACAAATTCCGACCATGAACACACAACTTAGAATATACGGTGGTTATTTAGAGTTGTCCAACCAAACTCAGGTGTGAGCAGCCTTCACAACGGTCACAGGGCATGCAACACTGTTCACCACATGGTTGCTCACGCTTCCCATTATCATTCTCTTAAGACCACCAAGGCCTCGGTTACCCATCACAAGACTTGAGAGGGGAATCTGTTCAGCTGCTGAACAAATCTTCTCACGAGGATCTCCCCAATATATCTTCATCACTACTGTAATCTGTCCATGTTTTATAACAGTTGGATCTTAGTTTAACAGGGAACAAACACTTGTTGTTGTCAAAGAAAGTCTCACTCATATGGATCAAAATGTTTTTTTAAAAATCTTGGTCACACAATTCAGAAGGCAACAAAAAGCTTTCAATGAATTTCTGAACATATTATATGTCAGCACAGATACAGGTTATTCAATAAGTTATAGTCCTAACAACTCTTCAAAGTTTATATATAAACAGAGGAATAGAAGTCAGATTGATTATTCCAGAACACCAAAGATATAAAAAATTGGTTCTTCCAAGTTATCATTACTCTTTAATAATATGCATATATTCATTAAACTATCCGCAACTGGAAAATCGCCACATTTCGAATACAAATTCAGGTATTGTTATGTGAACATAAGTAAACTATTAATTCAAAGCATAAAAGAGTTTCAAGTTGCAGACAGGTTCATGGACTGTTCCTTTGGAACAGAAATAAGAGTTAGAAGACAGATGAATCCAAAGGGAAAGAAGAAGCTTACGGATTTCTTCCTAGCGGCAGTGTTGGCAATGTCAAGGGTTTCGGCATCTGGCTTCACTGCATACTTCTTCATCACAGCAGCATCAGAGAATTCACTCAGCGGAATGAAAGCTGAAAAGTTACAAACACAAGAACCAAAGTCAAACAACAAGAAGATGAAATTTTAACGAATACTTGGAAACAATTAAGATGCATGTCCAGGAGCAAAATTGGCTTCATCATGTTCCAGAGAAGTGAAGTGAGCATTCAATATAACATAACACGATCAAGTTACTAATGAAACAGATTCTTTCCAAATTTAGACAAAGCAAAATCATAGAGAAACCAATTGTAAATCAAAATGATGCATGAGTAAGCTCAGTTCAACAAAAATTTGCAAGATCCTCGGACAAAGGCTCAACAAGTGAAATCGTAAACCTTAAAACAGAACAAATCATAAATAATCATTATCATCATCGATGGTGATTTCTATCATGTCCAGGAAGGAACACAAAAGAGAAAAAGGAATTTGAGAGAGAGAGAGAGAGAGGGAGAAAAAGAAGATACGTGATCCAACGGTCTCCCAGAGCTGCATCTCGCCTTCTTCGTAATGCACATCGTGAGCTATGGTGATGAGGATGAGATGATCGCCGTCACGAACCACGTTATCGATCGCCCAGCTCAGTGCCTTCTTGCTACAATCTGAGAAATCCACCGCCACTCCGATCCTCCGTCCACCACTCTCCGCCATATCTTTCTCTCTCTCTTTATCGCAGTCGAAGACAAAATGGGTTCTGATGAGGAAGAAGAAGGACTAGACTAAGAAGAAATTGAAATCAACGATTCAATAATGAGAATTATTCTTTGTAATGCTGTCCAACGATCTGGATACATCCTGTCCGTTGAATGAAGCCCATGACCGATTGATCGCAGCCTTACAACTAAAACAGTGGGTAAACACTGAAAAATATCTTCACGGAAGCGGGGCCCACCATTGTTTTAGGAACAACAGTTCTTGTCCAAAGCAGAGAAAAGTCACGTTATTAATTCAAACAAAACTCTCCACTACTTTAGTATTTTAAGTTTTTAACAGGTCAGATTCTGTTTCTTCCCCCAACCAATCATGCCAAAAAAAACCAAGAAGAACAAAATCAAATAGGTCCCTTACGAGAGATGTTACAAAAATAGGTAGGCAGCTTTTAAATCTTGAGAGCGCGGGTGATTTCCCAGCAAGTCGCCTCCGTTTCGTAAGACAACCCAAGGCCTGATCCCGAATTTCCCCTACCGCTGTTTGATAAGGTCACTAAGAACCACTCGTTCTCTAATGACGGATACATTAGCTGATCATCCTGCAACCATTTTTACATTGCGCTTCTTTTACATTCATTTTACCGCCATTTTATTAACCAACATTTAAATAAATAAATAACATACACACACACACACAAAAAAAAAGTCGTTTTGTTACCTCAGGGAGGTCATAGAATTCATCAGGAGATATCTGAAGTATAGCTGATGCTGACTGACCAGTACACCACGCGTATAGTTTGGTTTCCTCGTCTGCAAGTGTTATTGTTATGTCGAATGTTCTCACTACTTCTGATCCTGCGTTACCGGTGCAGCTTACTCGGCAGAAGCCACATCGCAGATTCCCTCCATGTGATGACGATGCTGATGATGATTCTTCATCTATGAAATGGCCACAAAGGCTATGTGATAATCTAGTTTTTATGTTATGGCATTGGTCGATCTCATCCAGCTTAACCCGACAAATCTGTCCCAACAAAAAAACATATGAGTAGGATGTATAAAGGAAACAGATATAAAAGCTTTAGAAAGTGAGATGTACGTTTACTGCAGGTTTTATATGTTTGGAAATTTGAGAGAGGGTAGAGATTTTGTGAAGACACGAAGAGGTCAGAAATGCGGGCAAGCAGCTAAGGTTGACGAATGCAGCTTTCTCGTCTTTCTCATGCCATAACACCTCAAGGCTGCTCAACCAAACAAGATATTCATTAATGTTTAAGCTAAAGCTACAAAACCAATACATAAAGGAACTTATTGAGAAGTATATACCATTCATGTTTGAGGTAAATCAGTTAGTCAATAGAGATGGATAGTTCTCAGTTTCAAAGCAAGAGAGACTTACCAATTCTTGTTTGTGACTCTGCAGGATAACCCAGACACGTACACGACATGACCAACCCCTAACCTTCCCAACGACCTGGAAACCATAAAATTAAACAGCTCATTAAACAGAATGTTCAAGGCTCCCAGTTGCTGTTCAACTGACATTTTGGAAGTTACGAAACAGTACGATACCAGTAACTAGTAAAATGGAGCTTTGCCCATATTGCACCACTTGTGTCCTCAATTTTCAAAGAAAACACCACTCCTGTGGCATTTGGATCATCACATAAGATATCAGTTACGATACCATAGAGACTGATGCCAGTGGTTTTGTCGCGAATGTCCGTAATAATCGTCTGCAGAACTTCAACCAAGGAGAGTAATATTAGCAGTTGCAGCTGCGCAATAGAATCAAAAATAATGGCCAGAGCAAGCTTTATATATAAAATTTATATATAAGATATATAGTCTCTCCAACCATTGGTTCGTTTCCCTAAGTTACTAGGCCGACCAGGCAGTGAATTCCCAACAGAGATGATATTGTGCTCACAAGTAAGACACAAACAAATATTTAATTGTTATGAATGAAGTTTGCTATGAAAAGAAAAACCAGTAATGACATGCAAATGATAGGATTTGTAGCGATAAGAACTTAGATTCAGGGTGAACCAAATAAAATGGAATTGTTGAATAACCTACCCTGTTACCTGAATTCTAAACAGAAGGTGCACAGAAAGATAATCCACAAACTAGTCACACGATTGGTTGATATAAAAACATTCCAATCACGGCATAGGCTTTTGACAACTTTACAATTATCTATTACCCTACACCCATGAAGTTAAGTCTCTAGATTTATAAACCATCAGTTAATATCGTGCTGAATAAAGTGGTATATCAACTTCTACTCACCCGAAAAGGATAGTTACTATAGTCTATAGACCCCTCGGCATCACGAGGCAATGTCACCTGCGAAACTCCGCCTGAACCAAGCAGTTTAGATCCTTGACACTGATTTTGGGTCAATGCTACACAAACCTGAAGAAGGAAAAAAACAATTCACTCCTCATTGGTGACATAAAAAAATCAAAGCAAATATCTGACCTAGAAAAAGAAGAGTGACAGATTCAAAAAAACGGTTCACCCACCCGTTCCTCTTGCAAGGTTGCCGGAAATAGATAGAGATGTGTTGCGCTACCATATTCAAGGCAGAACTCATCCTTTCCATCCACTGCACTCTCTTCGAGACTAGAAATATAAGGCCTCTCAATCCCAAGCATGCTTCCCACACTGAAAACGAATCTGTAAGAAGGTGTTGGTGGGAAAAAAATTAAGGTAGAAGCACCAAGCCAGGAGCTTACCTCAGAAGGTTTGCCACAATGACTTGCTCTCCCCACAAGATAAACTTTAACCTATCACCGTCCCCATCCACAAGTACAATTTGCCTTCTATGTGCAGTACTAAACTTGAGTTCAGATTCCAGAGGACCTATAGATTCAATCCTGCTCGCAAACCAAGAGGGGTTGGTTAATGCAATATTACTTTTAGATTAAACAGCCAATAGAAGTTAAGTACACTCAATCTCTTAAATCGTTTGTGAATGAGGTACTTTATTCGTCTTTCAAAAAGTTTACCATGTAATCACAACATTTTTGATACTAGTCATTACTTTCAAAAGGTTTTTATCTGATAAATCTAATCACTGTATTAGTGTTAAATATTTCTGGAACCTGTTTGTGACTAGGAATGTGGGTAATAAGTTGCTTTTACCAAGATCGGTATTGAGTGATATCATACGCACATACTCTCTTACCTAGCATACAAAGAGTATGAAGTTCCACTGTTGAAAGCATCCAGAGAAACAGATGCGAATGTATCTGAACAAAATTGTGCTGCTATGAGGATTGCATCATCGTCTTGGTCCTGCCGTATTTGAAAGTCATGTAAAGACTAAACCATTTTTTCCATATAAAACTTCATACAAAGAAAGTGATATGTGTAAGTGCAGTTCTAAATTCCGTCAACCAAGACAATGCAAATCCATATTAGCAGACAATATTGCAGTTCTAGTTTCTAGTGACTACCAACATGCAAATCCAAAATTGGAAGAAACCAAACCTCATCTAGCAAAATGATAAGATACTCTGTTGGAAGTAACCGTGGAGTGCCAAATCCTTCTCTCGCAGTACGAAGGTAGCACCCAGTGAGCAAAACCTCTCTGCCTTTCCCAAGAATCCCATTTGGTGTTTCCACCAACTCATAATACCTACACAAGGCATTATATGCTTCTAAGAATCTCTATACAAGGATCATAAACAAGCAGTAAAACGCATCTTCATCTTTAGCGAATAAGCATACCTGCGATGCAGATAAATATCAATGGTGTTAGAGCTCCAACAATCCCCTAGTGTAAGCATGAAAATATTTGTACCTGAAAAAATAATTTATATTTGAATGAATAACCCACTTATTTGGCCACGATAGGGCAGAGGAAATGAAAACGCTGGCAGGATTTACAAGATACCCGGAAGAACATCGGCATTAATAATAACAGCTTCCAAAACGCTGTTCATGGACAAAAAATTCTTCTCATGAATCGAGTCTATTGTCACAGTATTAGCTAGTCTTCTTCTTCTGTGACTCTTTTTCAACTGAGCAATGAGTTCCGGCTTCTTCTTTGACATTCCTGGTTTGTTTTGCTCATGCCATGCCTACAAAAATAAACATTAGAAACCAAGTGAATAAAATATCCAAAATCGTCTCTACCAAAATCACTACATAAACAGGCTCAACAGAAAATTCAAAGCTATATCTCATATATTTTTATATACTGCTCAAACTCATTGGCCAAGCTGCAAAACGATTTCTCAAAAATCAAACAGACAGAGACGTTACAATGTTATAAGCACACAGCCTCATCAAATCGGAGCTTCCCACCTACTACAATCCCCCAATCGAGAAAAACATCAAAAACGAAATATGAGAGATATTAGCAGCACCTGAGAGAGATCGGACAACAGAATCGCGGCAGTGACACCGCTCGAATAAGCTGTACAGGTTTTCAGAATACGCGAAGCAACCCAGCCCCAACCCGGACCAGTAGCCTCAGCCGCGGCTTCTGTCGGATCCTTGTTGCCCTCCCCTTCCTCACCGTCGTCTTCTTCTGGTGAAATCACTGTTCTGGCATAGTCAATGAACGCCAGAAATGGATCTTCGACTTCTTCCTGGCTATCGATTTCAATGAGCGATGCTCCGTTTGTAACCCCCATCGGAGCTCCGATTCCAATTCTAAACCCTAGATTTGCCGTTCCTGTGAAATTGCCCGGGTTTATCAGGATTCAGACTTTATGATTTCGCGGGGAAATTAATTTTAAATATTAAACCTGAAAACTTAACAATTTTCCTCAAAATCAATTCGCCGGGAATGTCTGAAATTAAAGGTATGCGTTTAATCTTAAATGTCAAAACAAAATAATTCACCAAAAAGTCCCTAAATATTCAACTCTTTATATATTTCTCCACTATATTTTTTTGTCTTTGATAATGTAAAGTTTGAAACAAAATCAGATAAGAGAACTAAATAAAGTGGTAAAGTTAAAGTCACTATAGTAAATCTTCTTTTTTTCAATTTTAACAAATTGCTATCTTATCATTCTTCTCAAAATTACACATTCGATCCTTTATCTTTACACCGCCCCAATAAATATTCCTCATATTTTGTCAATCACCATCATTTATCCTCCCTCTAGTGAATCTCTCTAACCTCTTAGAATCAAGATTAACGTCCAGCTTCAAAGGATCCAACGACAGCTTCTCGCGTAAAAACGCATCGAGTTTAAACCCGCTCCCAGTTTCAGTGTCCTCACGTCCCATGGAGCTCTCTGGCTGCTGATTGGATTGGCTATCTTTGGCGCCACCCATGTTTTTAAGAGTAGTTGTTAACCTGGTGTTGTCATTGCTCTGACCAAAGTTCAAGAGCCTTTTAACAGTGTCTAAAGCCGGGTCGATGATATCCAAGAATCCTGTGACCCACGAGGCATCATCAACAACCTCCGTCCGCTGTTTTGCAATGAAAAAAAACAGATGAATATAAACGCTACTAGAAGATCCTGCTAGAAATCAACAATATGTACAAATGCTTACTTGTTGGAAATACAGGTTCCGGATTTCTTCAGCACGTTCGGAGTCTCCTTGATCTTCCTCAAGTTGTGCCCAGGTCATCCATGTAACATAGCTCTGTGAGTTAATGTTCAATGAAGATCTGAACAATCTTCTTGCTGCTGATAAGTTTCCTGCTCTCTGTTCAAGAACTCCCCACGCCTGTAGAGACAAAGAATGTCTTAGCATACTTTCCGGCTAATATATGATTCCAACAAGTTTTTGGTTAATAAATCTTATTCCCTCGTTTTTACAATGTTTAAGTTCAGACCCTGAGAGGACACATAAAGTTGCAAATGGAATATTTTATTAGTTATACCTGTAGACAACGAGCAGCGCTTTCGGTATTTGCATCAATGGAGAGAGCTCTTTGGTAAAGTTCTCTAGCTGTTGTTGTGTTTCCTTCTTTCCATTCCATCCAACCCCAAGCCTAAACCGGAATACACTTTCACCAATCATTTCCCCTTCCATACACAATTATAAAGACTCTTGAATTCGCTAACCAGATAGAACTGGGTAAAACCAAAATCTACTAAGTAAATGGTATAAGTTTATTTACAAGTTAATACCAATAGAAGGGGCCTAAAGAACTATTAGCAAAAATCAAAAGCTCAAACATTAAGGAAAACGTAAAAACCAAAACTACTTGAGCAGATCGATCATGTAAAGAGCAATCAAACTGAATCTTGTATACTTACAATCCAAACAGGCTGATGTCTAGGATCGAGCTCTGATGCTCTTCTTAGTAAAGCTCGGGCAAGATTAGCAGATGAGTGTTTGTACTCCAGTAAGCCAAGAGACTGAAGGAGAACAGGGTCTCTAGGATTGAGCGCATGACCTATCTTCAGGAGCTTTCTTCCACGCTCAACATTACCTACTCCAGCTTCAAACACCCCCCACACGTGCCACGCAAACCTATTCTTGGGGCTTGCCTGGACTGCTCTCTGTAAAGAAAAAGAATGCGCGATTAGAGCCTGAAGCTTCCATCTGTAGCTCCAATTGCTTAACAGGAAGGAACTAAGTCATTCGTGGGATAAATATATAGCCTCCACTGCGCTGATCTCATTGTGAATGGGAAATATAAAAAAAGGATGTAGCAGTTACCTCAAAAAGCTTTCTAGCAGCTGGGTATCTTTCCTGCTGTATCTCCAACTGAGCCCATGCCTGTTCATAAAAATGAACATATAGTATGAAAAGAGAAGCTCGTGCAGAACATTTTTGTAACCTCTAAATACAAGCAACCTTTCGAAACTAAATCATGTGACTGGTACGGAAAAGACAGGGGATGCGAGAATTAGGTTTCATGAAAATGGTAGTAGCTGAGTAGCATTCTCTTTTTACACAATTATCTAAGAGGATTAATCCTAGGGTGCAACTTTACTGAATGGCAATGTCTAGCTCTTATCACAGACATCTGATGATGCAAAACACTTACCAACCAACTGGCGCAGCTCTTTGAGTTGCTTATAGTGGCCTGCTTGAACAGGTACCTAGCCTGTTCATACCGGCCAGCTTTGGCTTCCAACAAGGCAAGTGTTTGGTAGATATACTCGTTTCGGCCACAAAACTTGAGGCCTTTGGCTAGCAGATTCCTGGCTTTACTAATATTTCCTTGTTTAATCTCCAGGTTTGCCCATCCATGCCAGGCTGCTACATGCTTCTTGTCAGCCACCGTAGCTGCATCAAACAATTCCCTGGCTCTTCTTACATTTCCCAACTTTTTTTCCAGGACAGCCCAACACTGTTCCATAGGAGACAGGTATTTGATATGCACGAGAAACAAAAAGTGTATCAAGCAAACTGCTTTAAAGATCAAGTCAAATAAATAAATAAAGAAAAGCCATACAGCACCTGCCAAATATATGCATTCTCTCCTTGTGTAGCTTGACACCCTTTCTCATACACGATCCGAGCTTCAGCTAACTTGGATTGTTTGCTCAGTATCTTCCCCAATGCCACGTATGGTCTCCCATCCTCCGGCCAGTAAGCTATGCACTTAAAACCCAACAACACATGATTAGATTCAGTAGACATCTACTCGCTACATTAACCTCTCTTTTCAATGGTGCGTTTACAGATGATTCAGGGATAAGCTAAACTATACAAAGAGTCACTAAATTTTGAGAACCATTCTCCAATTTCACCCTACACATTGATGGTTGGAACAATCAGAAATTGCATGATCATATACTGACCAAAAGGCAGAAGTGATGTTACCTTCTCCAGAATCTTCTCAGCGTCTTTATATCTGAAATTTCTCGCCAGAACCTTTGCTCTGTACAGAGATAAGTCCAAATTCACCGCAAGCGGCTTCTCTTGAGCCCTAGCAGCAGCCGCGGCTGAAGACGACGACGACGACTCCGATCTCTCCGGCTCAAATATCGGCATCTTCTTCGCTATATTACTCAGACCAGCATCGATCCTCGCTGGATACTTTCTTCCCTCTTCCTCACTAGATTCCTTATCGGAATTCTCCAACAACGGCCGTCGAACTACCAATACTCCCTCCGTGTTAGATTCCCCTCCCTCGCTCGTCAATTCCTTCTGCTGCGATGATACACCCGACGAAGACCTGTCGACAACTGCACACAGAGACGTGCTCTTAGAGGAGCACGGAGGATGCATGAGAAACGATTGACCGGAGATTCCATGGGTTCCGATATTGATCTTCGCCGAAAATTTACAGAGATTATCAGGAATTTGAGAAGGAGCGAGAAATAAAAGAGAGAATGAAGAAGTATTCGCCGGAGAAGGTGATGAAGACGAAGAAGTCGGGACGAAGAAGAAGTGCATTGTTTTAAAAAAGCTTCAACTGATAAAACCGTTTGCGAGCTTTCATGGAGGAGACGGAGAAAGAAGGAAGCTAGGCGGGGCACTCGGGCGGGGAAGAAGAAGAATGGTCCTTCAAAAATACGAAGCTACCCCTAAATTAATATAAGCTATCCTGTATTTTGCAGTGTTGTGTAAAGGGTGACTTGGTCATTGTCGGGAAGATACTACTGTGCAATATCCGGCCACGTTGCTAAAGTTATTGGATGGCTTAGCTGAATTGGATTTCAGTTACACGTGGCCATATGTTACTGGCTCAAAGCTGTGAGGGAGAATCTTAGCCACAGAACCCGGTACACTCTGGTCCGGTTAAGTGCATAGTTAAAGTTCGAAATCATCCAATCATATCTCGTCTGAGATAAGACCAAAACAAGAGGTCATGACGGGGTCTGGTGACTATTGTCGAAAGCAAACAACAAGAAATTATTATGTAGAATTAGCATACATTAAATTTTTTTAAGTATCTTTCAATTAATATTCACTTTCATTTTTAAAAAGCTGATCTGCTATCATTCGGGAAAAATATATGTTAATTTGGAATTAGATGATGAGTTGAACTTTAGGTTACATAAATTATAAATGGAAACTATCTCATATAATGTGTGCAAACAACACAAGAGTTTCCAATCACTCTATGAACATTTTAGAGTAGAGAACAAAAATAAGAGAAAAACTATTTTGTATAGTATACCGCCGAAGAAAAGATGGGAATGGTCTTTCTTCGTATGTTTTTTTTTTCAAGCCACACCAAAACGCGAAACGTCAAAAGCCAAATTGCGCGATAGCATAATGAATTCTTAAGACTTTTGTTGAAGCCAAACAGGGAGCCAAGAAGTTCCATCAATAAAATCAATGGACAAGAAAGACTCAACTTCTTGTTTTGTAAGCTCTTTGGCCCAATCAGATCTTTGTTGCCTCTCAGCTCCTGGTCCATGACACTTGTACTCTCCATGGTATAGATTCCTGATTAATCGCAAGAGTACATTAGTACATAAACTAATCATCCAAATTAGGTAAAAAGTTAACTAGAAGACTAACTCAGTAGAGCCATGGTAACTCCAGTTAGTCCAACCATCAGGGACAACAGTCTTGGACAAGTAAGTCTTGGCAAAGATGACTCGAGAATAAGGTCCTTTGGCCCGACCCAAATAAACCTCGTCAATTCCGTACACTTTGCCTCTAATGAACACATAACCCGTATTTTCCTCTGCACTTTCTCTATGGTGTGCTGTAATTGACCCATACGGTTTCACCCTCTTGTCCGATACCACAAAAATCTCACAATTCTGCAATGATATTTGGAATTAATTTTCTTCTATGCTATGTTTAAGAGAATGTGTATAGTAGTGTGGGACAACATACGTTGAAAACGGAAGTTGCACGACCGAAGATGAAGTCTATGGAGCCTTGAATGTAACACTCATGGTAGTAATGTCTACCTTTGTTATCAAACAAAGTGTTGTGTAAGCTGTAGAACGCACAATGGTAAAACGCTACTTTGTCGGCAGCCACAAACGCTGCTACGGATTGATTTTCAGACGTGAATGCCATTCCCACAGGAGCATCATTCTGTATATACACGAATGTCATTAGTTGATGTAATTTAAAAGAAAGATTAAATTTTGAATATCTACAGTTATTATACGTACTCTTATGCTTATACCAAAAGCAACAAAGTGATTAGCTTCCACTTTGAAAGTGGCTGAAGCAACATTGTCGACCGAACTTTGTGATGATTCGATTACCGTTTTGCCCTTTCCATTACCCCTCATGAATATGAACGGTTTGTTCTCTGGAATGTGCACTCTCTCTCTTTTCCCCAAAAATAACAAATTCAAAATCAGAAATGTTATATATTAGTTCATATAACTTGGTTATCCCTATATTCAAAAATGGAGAGTAAGGTTTGACATATCGGATCGTTTAAATGGTTAAACCTCTTAAGAGTATAAATACATACTTGTAGATTCCTTTACGGACATGGACGATAATCCAATTGGAGTTACCAACAGGGACAGCATCAATGGCCTTTTGAACAGAAGTGTAGTCTCCTTTGCCTTCAATATCGACAATTATTGATCTATTTGTTGCGATTTTTTCAGTAAGTAGGGGCGCGTCGAATTTAGTCTTTTGCATTGCTGATGCGTCCGAACCCCATGCGGACATTACAACTAGGGTTAGAACAAGAACCATTCTTGTTCGATGATCCATCATTTTTCTTTCTTGATTTTTTTTTTTTTTTGGGGGGGGGGGTTTCTATTTTTCTTTTTGGAATATGGTGTGTGAGAAAAGAGATTATATTGGTGAAGGAAGAGGTTTAATTTAAGAAAACAGGTTTTTAAATTTAGGGTGGTTCGTTGTGTTTGTTTAGTTTTGGGAGGTAAGGGATTTTGGAGGAAGAAATGGTTTTTACTTAGAATGTTTTTGTTTTTTATTTTTAGACGTTTATTATTGATTAATGGACGATAAATACTTTGAAGTATATTTCTATATTTGGTATTGAGAACAAAAAAGATTGTGATTGTTGCGTAACCGATGATACCACTGTATAAACCGCTCATTCGTTAACGTAATCAAACCTTACTCGGGAGCCATTAGAAATCTCAAGAGAAAACGACCAATCCACCTAAATCCACCAACAAAAACCAATTATTGTGTCCTTATTTCTTTATACCCTACAAAAACATCAACAGTCAAACTGAATTTGTATTTGACATTACACAAGATTAAATTGTAACATTAATGAATAGAAAATGAGGTCTGCCCACTTTTTATGAGACTTCGATATAGACAATCTTTTAAAAATAAATCAACGGAATTTTTTAAAATCTCATTTAACATTATACTAGAAGATTGGATCACGTGGACCAAATCTATTGAACATTAGTTACATATTTACATACATAAAATTATGCATTCTCTAGAATCTATGGTAATTGTTTTTATTTATTTTTAAGGCTATGGTAAAAATATTGATGAGAGTCAATGAATAGTGTACACGCGGACTTGCATGCCCATGTTTATTTGTTAAGTATCAATGGATCTCCAAAAAAGGACATATTGCCATATTGGCATTGCAACTAGTGTGGTTGGGGAGAATTTTATCGATACGAGATGTCGAGATGCAATATATATATCTTACGTCGTACATGGTTCACACACGACGTAAGTATTAGTCGTTTTCAACGTCTTAAATGCGTTTAAATTTGGCAAACATATAATTATATAGCTGTGATAAGAGTAGGTCCAATATATTCATATAAAGAAAAGTTGCTAATAAAATATATATTGTTTATGATGAACCTCAACGAATCTAGAAACCTCAGACTTGATGAGGAATGGGATAATATAGGACAACGAAACTTATAACTTTGATGTTACGTACTTGTGGAAATCTTACTACTACACTCAAGTCGAAAATAAATCAAATTAAAACGTAAACGATTTAGCAGTTGATGGTTAATTACAGCGTCATATAGTTTTCACAAGAAAGTGTAACGTACGTTTTCTAAAACCACCACAAATTACTATAAATGGATCATACTCTCCTATATACTTGTGATTTGTGAACCTTTGAAGTCACAGTGTGTTGATTCCAGTTTTGGCAAAGACGCAAAGTACAACTTTGCTAGGGACATTTATTTGCACCGCAAATTCGTAATAATGAGTTCCACCAAATTTGAAACGTACGTCTTAAAACCCTACACTTCTCTGTGTATATTTCTAATTATGCTGGGTTCTTTTTCTGAATATATTGATTATATTCCAATTTTTCTTATTTATAACTTATCTGGTTATTTTTGTTCCGAGCTATGAACCCTGCATTTACGATTGCAAAATTAAAATAATGTTTCTTTTTCTGTGGTCTAGGCCAATTATTTTTTACCTATTTTTATCACGTTTTTTTTTTTTGATCAAACACTTATATTAGAACTTGAACAAATGTTACACTCCATTATGGGAGGACAAAGCTACAAACATTGTTTACACATGAGATAAAAGAAAGGCAGATAGAGGAGAAGGTTTCTTTCAGGCAAGAAATGATTTGAAGATGGAATTTAAAATTTATAACCATTATATCACACATTATCATATATTTTTCTAGCTGTTGATGAAATATATAACTAAACATTAATTTTTTTTTATTAATCTAATCAAGCAAATATTATTAGTTAGAACAAACAAAATAAAATACCATTTTCGGAAAGTTTGATTCTATACAGATTATAAAACGATACATGTGTATATAATTAAAGATATTATAAAAAATCAACCTAAAAGTTCACATTATTCATGCGCATGTTGTTTTACTTTTACCCATTTCTCTGTATTGTCTCTTCTCAATCAACTGTTACCTGTAACCATTTATTGAACCAAACCGGTCCGTTCACCTGCAAATGCGTGAGTTCAATTCCCAGGTTCTATTATAAAAAACAAAATATACAATGTGGTTGGTTACATACTGAAAATGTATACTGTATCCAAAATGACATTAATGTAATAATATTGATATATTCGGTTCTGAATTCTGAAATTGTTAACCAGACTTAACCGGAAAATAACATAGACTTTAGTTAATTAATACCAATTCACACAACTTCAGGAAAAAAAAATTATAAATCACGCTCACGCTCCTCCGTTCACATTCATATTTTTATTTCACTTGTTCATATTTTTCTTATTCTATTCGGTTGTGATTATTAGTGTCACGGGCACTTTCTTCAGCTTCCTATTTATACATGCACTTCCAAGAACAAATTACACAAGTCATTTTTCTCTTTAGCTTCCGATTTAAATTACCTTCAAAAAACAAAAAAAAGTGATGAAACCAAAGAGCAAAGTTGTAGAATCTGCAGCTGCGTCATGTTTTCTCGTCATGAGCTTGTTATGTACCTACACTAATGGTGACCAGATGGAGACTAATAATTATGAAGAGACGTTATCTTATAGTTACTACGAGAAAACTTGTCCCAAAGTCGAAGAGATCGTGAAATCTTCACTTTCATCAATGTTTGTACTTGATCCTACTGCTCCTGCTGCCTTGCTAAGGCTTATGTTTCACGACTGCCAAGTTCAGGTTCTCTGATCTATCTCTAGCTTAATCAATCTCTCTTTCTTGCTCTGAGAAAATTCTCAATATATGGGGTAAACTCAATTTGGGGTTTTGCTTTTAAAAAGACGGAAAAAACTCAATAGGATTTGGTTGAAAATTGTATGCCAATGATGTTAAGTATTCGAATTTATACATTTTACGTGAATAAACATATCAGCATGTCATGATTAGGATCACTATTAGTGATGTATGATCATTAATTCTGTCTTTAAAAATGCGAAAATTGGACGTTCGTACATGATATATATCTTGTTTTTTATGGTTTTCTGCCATTGTATTTGAGCTTTCGTTTTATTTTTCTTATAAATTTGTTTGTATATTATACGAGCCAGAGTTTGAGATGTTTCATACATGACTGAAATATGTTTTCTCTAACTATATAATGTATAATGCATGTGATTGATAAATTTGGAAGAGAATAGAACACGGATATATTACTAAGACCACTTTAATTAGTTAAACATGTCACGGTCCATTAATGTGGACTAATTATATGTAGGAAAAATGTATATTTTCCCATATCAGTGCGCGTCATGTCACGTACAACACAATATTTTAAGAGATTCAAAAAAAAAACGATTAGATCATTGTTCTTGGCATTTATTTCATCTCGTCCATCACCATTAACTGTCTGGAACAAATACATGTGGCATATGTACACAACAGGGCTGTGACGCATCGATCCTACTCGAGCCAAGCGGTGACCAACAACAGTTCACGGAGCTTGATTCAGTCAAGAACTTCGGAATCAGAAAGAGAGACCTGATTGGCTCTATCAAAACCTCACTGGAGACGGAGTGTCCGAAGCAAGTCTCATGCTCTGACGTTATCATCCTCGCCGCCAGAGAAGCCGTGGCTCTCACGGGAGGCCCTCGCATCGCCGTGCCCTTAGGAAGAAAAGACTCTCTCTCCATTTACAGCAAACACATGGCAGACTCTGAGCTCCCTCCCTCCACTGCTGACGTGGACATTACCTTAAGCCTATTTGCCGGCAAAGGCATGACCGTCGAAGAGTCCGTTGCCATCATGGGTATATTATATTTTTTTAATTTAATTCGTAAACTTATGTGCATATACGTATATAATTTATAAGACTTGTTCTTGTCTGGTATAGGTTCACATACTATAGGAGTGACACACTGCAATAACGTACTATCGCGTTTCGACAACGCAAACGCGACAAGCCAGAACTTGGATCCACGTTTCGAAACGTTTTTGCGAGTTGCTTGTCCAGAGTTTTCTCCAACGTCCCAAGCCGCGAAAGTCACGTTTGTTCCCAACGATCAAACTGCGGTGATCTTTGATTCAGCCTACTACGATGATGCCATCGCTGGACGTGGCAATCTGAGGATTGATTCGGAGATTGGAGCTGACCCACGCACACGTCCGTTCGCCGAAGCGTTTGCGGCTGATCAAGACCGTTTCTTCAACGCCTTCTCTTCCGCGTTTGTAAAATTGTCGTCGTACAAAGTGTTAACCGGGAACGAAGGAGTAGTTAGAAGCGTGTGTGACAAAGTAGATGATTGATGTATATGATTTTCATCAAATGTTACATGACAAAAATATTATAATCCGTAAACAAGTTATAAGATAGTATGAAGCATAGTATAAAGCCTTGTTTATACGTTTTGCAACTTGCAATAGTCATCATCAGTTATCTAACAACCGGACTTATAGCAAACCGGTTATCAAAAAAAGGTTAGCAAACACGTAACTCTTTTAATAAATACACTCCTTGCCCAAAATGGCACGAAGTTCACACAAGGAAAAGCGTAACGCTTAAAAGATGCTACAACAGTTCAAAACTGGACACGTTGATTCAATCGAGTCAACTTATGGGCATGAATCTTCCTGCTGCCCAATAATTGTATCTATACTATTAATTGGGAAGGACAACTTGAATCCAAACAGCATCCCATTAAAAAAAAAATTTCATGAAAATAAAATTAGTTGCCAAACAGAATCAATGACAGCAAAACAAAAAAACAAAAAAACAACTATCTATATTTATGGAAATCATAATAATCTTTTACCATAAAAAGTGGACAATTAAATTCAAAATTAAATATATATATATAAACATATCTATTTTGAATATATATAAACATATCTAATATTAATTTAATATTTTAATATAATTTCGAAATTAATAATTTATATAGAATGAAATCTAATAAAACAAAATCATCATATATCTACAAAACAAATATAACATTTTTTTAGAAAAATAAAAAAGATAAAAAAATATGTTAGCTTATGAAATAATCAACTAATCAAATTCTACATAGTATATATATACATAACTGATCATATCATCAAATTTTAAAAAATTATATAATTTTAAAATATAAATAAGATTTAAATAAATCGATAATTAAATATTTGTTTGCTAAAATCATGCGAATAAACATTCTAGATCATATAAATTTCTTATTTTCACATTAAAAAATATTCATATTCAAAAAGCAATCTAGCAATTATAGCATAAAAGATATCTACAAAATTTATCATTAATTCAATTAGTTAATGATTTTCTATTTGGTCAAGCAGTTAGTTAATGATTATTCTAAACTTCTTTTTTCTTATTAATTTCACACAATCTTAACAAAATAAATCTTC